AAGAGAGCCAGGGCAAGAGAGCCAGGGCAAGAGAGCCAGGGCAAGAGAGCCAGGGCAAGAGAGCCAGGGCAAGAGAGCCAGGGCAAGAGAGCCAGGGCAAGAGAGCGCGAGGGCAAGAGAGCCAGGGCAAGCGCGAGAGCGAGGGCAAGCACGAGAGCGAGCAAAAGAGAAAAAGCAAGAGACAGAAAAGAAGAAAGAAAGAAAAAGAGAACGAAAGAAAGAAAGAAATAGAAAAAGATTTTTGTTTTTGAAGAGACATTGGCAAACAGAATGTCTATCAATCACCATGATTGACCTATCTACAATAAGGAGGAGGAGAATGGGGGGAGCCACACTGCACTACTATGTGCATCCACTGCTCTCACACATTGCACCTGGTGTTCCTGCACATGGCTTACAAAATTAACTTATTTCTAAAAACCATACCATTGAGATACCTCACTAACCAGAGTTCCACTGCACACTCTTCTACTTCTCCCCCAAGATGGCTGCTGTATGGATTCATGTAAGACTAAATAAAAAGCTTTTTTTCCCCTTCAACAGACTTGCGTTGCTTTGATGTATGAATTTTAACACCAACATTGTGGCGTGAACAGGAAAAAATGGAAAACAACCGTCTCCTTTGGGTCTTTGAGGTCTTCCAATGCAGTAAAATGCAGTTCACCACAGTATGTGTGACCAGGAACACAAGGGACACTTCTCATTGCAAGTGCTGTCCCTTGTACTTTTTTTTTTTTTTTCATTTGACTAAAAAGGCTATAACAGTTCACCTTTAACCACCTCCCGCTCGCCATATACACCCTGTTCCAAATTATTATGCAAATTATATTTTTCTCATTTACCTAAATAATTGATGTAAATAACAGTCAGCATAATTCTCATGTTATCAACTATTAAGAGTACAATCCAAATTTTATTGAACAAACCTCCTAATGATAACAGTATTTTTTTTAAACATAAAAAACTTACAATGCGCTGTTCCAAATTATTACGCACAGTAAGTTTCAAAACACTTTATAGGTTGTAAAGAACTGAAAATGGTCATTTGTTGTGTTTGCAGCAAATTTATTGAAATCAAAAACGATTTCAATCAAACTTCTAACAACATTTTAACTTTTTAAACATTTTAACAGGTCACGTTACATTTTAACATAGGACCCCTTAATTGATAGCAGCTTCACAAGTCTTGCATCCATTGAACTTGTGAGTTTTTGGAAAGTTTCTGCTTGAATTTGTTTGCAAGATGTCAGAATAGCCTCCAAGAGCTGCTATTTGGATGTAAACTGCCTCCCACCCTCATAGATCTTTTGCTTGAGGATGCTCCAAAGGTTCTCAGTAGGATTGAGGTCAGGGGAGGATGGTGGCCACACCATGACTTTCTCTCCTTTTATCCCCATAGCAGCCATTGATGCAGAGGTATTCTTTGCAGCATGAGATGGTGCATTGTCATGCATGAAGATGATTTTATTACGGAAAGCATAGTTCTTCCTTCTGTACCAGGGAAGAAAGTGGTCAGTCATAAACTCCACCTACTTTGAAGAGGTCATCTTTACACCTTTGGGGACCCTAAAGGGATCGACCAGCTCTGTCCCCATGATTCCGGCCCAAACCATGACTCCACCACCGCCTTGCTGACGTTGCAGCCTTGTTGGAACAGGGTGGCCGTCTACCAACCATCCACTACTCCATCCATCTGGACCATGCAGGGTTGCACGGCACTCATCAGTGAACAGGACTGTTTGAAAATTAGTCTTCATGTATTTTTCTGCCCAATGCAGCCGTTTCTGCTTGTGAGCATTGGTTAGTGGTGGCCGAATAGAAGGTTTATGCACAGTTGCAAGACTCTGGAGGACTCTACACCTTGATGTTTGTGGGACTCCAGAGGCACCAGCAGCTTCAAATATCTGTTTGCTGCTATGTAATGGTATTTTAGCAGCTGCTCTCTTGATCCGATGTATGGATCTGGCAGAAATCTTCCTATATGTGCCTTTATCTGCACGAACCCGTCTGTGCTTTGAATCAGCCACAAATCTCTTAATAGTGTGATGATCACGCTTAAGTTTTTGTGAAATATCTAATGTTTTCATACCTCGTCCAAGGCATTGAACTATTTCACTCTTTTTGGCAGCAGAGAGATCCTTTTTCTTCCCCATATTGCTTGAAAATGGCGCTCTGCTTAATAATGTGGAACACCCTCCTTTAGTAGTTTTTCCTTAAATTGGGCTCACATGCCAATCTAATTATCACAGGTGTCCGAGATAGTTTTCAGTGATCAAAAGAGCCCTGACACACAATGCCATCCATGAGTTAAACTGAAAAACAAAATATTTAATCTTTGTGACACTTAAATAGAATTTGCATAATAATTCGGAACAGGGTGTAGTACAATGACGGGCGCAAGGCAGTTCTCTCGCTCTAGGAGGACGTCATATGACGTCCTCCCATTCTAACTGCGCATGCGCGGCTTTGGGAGCGTGCAGCGTGGTGATCGGTGGTGCGGTGTCCCTCGGACACAGTGGATCACCGGTCAACGGAAAGAGCAAAAGATGTTGGCTCGGTCACGTGATCAGCTGTGTCCAATCACATGTAAATAGGGAAATGCCGGTTATCGGCATTTCTCTCCTCACGAGCGGTCACGCTGACAGCTCTAGAGGAGAGCAGAGCCGGTAATCGGCATCCCTCAGAGGGGACATGTGCACCGATGATCAGTGTGCCCTGATGATCTGTGTAGCCCCAGCAGTGCCAGCTGTCAGTGTCCATCAGTGCCAGCTGCCAGTGCTCATCCAAGCCACCTGCCAGGGCCCATCAGTGCCACATCGATGCCGCCTAACAGTTGCCATCAGGGCCGCTTATCAGTGCCAGTCAGGGCCCCCTATCAGTGCCAGTCAGGGCCATATATGAGTGCTGCCTTTCAGTGCCCATCAGTGATGCCTGTCAATGCCCATCAGTGCAGCCTATCAGTGCCCATCACTGCAGCCTCATTAGTGCACATCAGTGAAGGATAAAAATTTTGTAAATAAGTGATTTTTCTAACAAAAACTAAGAAAAAACGTTTTTTTCCCCAAAATTTTCAGTGGTTTTTGGTTTAAGAAAAAATAAAAAACCCAGAGGTGATTAAATACCACCAAAATAAAGCTCAGTCACAAAAAATGATAAAAATTTCATATGGGTACAGTGTTAAATGACCACGCAATTGTCAAAGTGCAACAGTGCTGAAAGCTGGAAATTGGCCTGGGCAGGAAAGGGGTATAAGTGCCCTATAAGTAAGTGGTTAAGAAAAAAAAAAAGTGCTTTTTTTTCCCTGATAAGCCTGTAGAGCTCTGCACCTGTGATCAAGAAATCACAGGGGCAATGTCAGCCTCCTGCAGACATTGCCTTCAGCTTTCCTGCCTTTACCTGCACACAGACCATTACAAAGCTGGAGGAAGTGTCAAAGAACTACAGGAGCGTTCATCAGTGACAATGGCAGGCGGACAGTGTAGCTCATTCATTCACAAATTGCTAAGAATGAATGATGCTGCTGCGTGGGGGAAAAGTGACAGTGGGTGCGGTGAGACGATCCCCTATACACTGTCATGGGGGTGGGGGATTTGTGAGGGACTGAAGACCTGGAGCATAGGAAACCCAAAATATTGGTGTAACCATAGGTGCACCTATACTTTAATATGGAAACTTGCAATAGTAAAATGGAAAAAAAAAACCAAAAAAAAACAAGACTGGAGAAACCGGAGAAATTAGACAATATTAATTAAGCCTGGTTAAGTGTACGCCATTTTAATGTTTGTTTTCCCCTCAAAGTAGAAGGCACATTTTTTTTTCCTTTTCAGATAAAGGAAGGTTATAAGCCATCAGGGTTTTTTTTTTTTTTTTTTTTGCCATCTGTGTCCTTTCACTTCCTGACTAATATCTGAAACAGGAAGTGAAGGGAAATCACTTGTCACAAAGGAAGACCAGAACTAGCGTCTCCATTGGAAAATTTTCCCTCTGTCACTGTTCTGGAGACACCCCAAAATTTGGGATTCTTTCAGTTTGAGTGATAAAGGTAAACATGACAAATGGAGAGGGTGAATCTCCCTAAATAGGACACAGAGAGCAATTAAAACAGCAGGTCTAATCCCACTCCATTCTATCCAAAACTAAAAAAGTTTTACCCGATTGGAAGGTCCATTCATCTCTATGGACAGGCAGGTACAAACGTTTACAACCACCTACCTCTGAGTCTGATCTGGTCTGCTAAAAAAACAAAAAAAAAAAACCCAAGGGGATCCGTCCCCCTCCATGTAAGGGGAGTGGATCAGAGGGTAGTCAAGGGTAAATGGACAGCAGAGTCCGTTTATTCCCAGCAGCCCATAGAGAAGAGCAGACTCTGTCCATGTCTACTTTGCAGAAACTGAGCGGACAACAAATGTGTCATCTGCCGCTTTGCTCCAATTAGCAGAGGATCGGTGAGCTGATCGTCTGCTGATCGGAAAATAATCTGCTCCCCCACATGAAAGGGGCCTAAAAGGTGAAAGCTGGACATACTTCCCTCCTACCCTTGGGCCCTGCTGTATTTACCTCTGGGGTTGTGAAGCCATCAGCAACCCTGCAGCCAGTCCAGCGGTCTGGGAATTTTAAATCCACGCTCTTCTCAATGCAGTGCTTCCGAGATTGATCAGATCAATTCTGATTGGCCAGCGATGTCACAGTGAATCAATCTTGTCCATCCTGGAAGCACTGCAGAGAAGAGCAGAGATTTCAAATCTCTGGACTGCTGGACCGGCTGTGGGGGTGGCAGCTGAGCAGGAACCAGGGGTGGCAGTTTTTTTTCTGTAAAGGTGAACTAACCCTTTAAGATTTATCAAACAAAACCGTGAAATATTTTTCATAGCAGTTTATACCTTAAAGTGGACTCAACCCATCGATGGGCCATATGAAATTTTAAAGACAAAAGTCACCCCAGTACATATGATCACAAGTATCATCTGAGCACAATATATGTTAAGAATTTTTTAATCTACCTGGCAAACCCAACAGCATGATTAAGGTAGTCTGCTAGAACTGTCTGTCGCTCTTCATCTTGTTCCACCATCAGTTTTTCTAGTAAAATTTTGAACTTTTCCATTAATGGATTCAATAGATTTCTCATCAGAATATTTTTCCTGTCAGCTGGGTAGTCACTGTTTACTATGAGAACACCTGCAGTCTCATATATGAAGAGCTGATCATCGCTGCTCAGCAAGGTCTGAAAACCATTTTCCTGAATAAAAGGAACAAGAGTTATTTCATATAACACAGGGCAACCTGTCAGTCACAGAACATAAGGGAACATTACATAGCTTTGGATCATGCATATACTTACTAGGATTCAGGGTCTCAAAGTGTACAGTGTTTCCTTCTAAAAAAAAAAGTGACTTCCCTGTAAATTCCATATCTTGGAGTACAAGCACAGGATACAAGGAACATGTTCACACACCATGGATCATAGAGAAACACCTTCAGATGATTGAACAGTGGCAAGCTTTTGAGAACACCCCCCCCCCCCCATAACCCTATCCTATTCTGAGAGTCCTCGGCTTTGTAGCAAGCAATGCAGAGTAAACCAAGGAATAGAAGGGAGCGGACTGACAACTCATGGGGACCCTGGGCAATAGGGGATCATGGGGCCCCTGTGTCCTTACTCAAAAAAGCCTATGAAAAAAGGTACCAGGGGCATCTCATGGGGCCCCCTACTGACCCCCAGCCCTCGGGCAGTGCCCAAGTTTCCAAATGGTCAGTCCGCCCCTGGAAGGGAGGCTGTCCTATACTGTATACTCCAAGATACAGAATTTAACAGGCAAGTCAAAATTCCTCATCTTAATCACGATATAGGGCACAGGAAACATATACATACACACAAGACGCCCCAAGCAATCAATACAAAGGGTGGGCAACAACTAGGCAAAAAAAAAAAAGTGCCAACACGCTCAAAATTAACAGGGGTCAAGGAAACCAATTTCAGTGTGCCTCTGCAAGGACCTTGCGGCCAAAAGCTGCAACTGCAGAAGACCACCTGGTAAAACATTAAGTTTGAAGAGGTCCATGTGGCAGCTTTATATAGTTGAGCTACAGAAGCTTGGTGCTGAAATGCCCAGGAAACTCCAGCAGATTTGTTGGAGTGGGTATGCGACAGTACATGAGGTTTTTTCTTAAAGTGGTTCTAAAGGCAGGTGCGTTTTTTTTTTTTCTTCCAATAATGCATTCTATGCATGAAGGTAAAATATTTGGGTGCAGATCCCCCCCCAGTCTCCCTTATACTCACCTGAGCCCCATCTTGATACAGCGATGTGCATGAGAGTCATGACTCACCCGGGTCTCTTTGTCAATCACAGCCAGTAAGCCAACAAGGAGAGAGCGGGGGCAGGGCCAAGCCATGATCAGTGTGTGAATGGACAATGTCCATTCATAGGAGTGCAGCTCTGGAATGAGCCTGCTTGAGTGCCCTCATAGCAACAGGCTTGCTATTGGAGGCACGCAGAGCAGGTAAGTATAGCATGTTTGTTATTTTAAAAAAATGACCTTTAGAATAATTTAAAGGACGTAAGCTCTACCTGTCAAGTTTTCTATTCACTGTGCAGTGGTGGATTTTGAAGCAGGTTGTCCCTTGTGAGGACCTCAGGGAAGAGCAAAGAGTATACCTAAAAGCTAATGCTTCTATCAGACAGATTGCCTCTAATGGCTCTGACTACATCCAGGCAATGTAGACTACTTCTTTGGATGCTCATGAGCAAGGCACAAGGATGGCAGAATGTTGCCCTTGTTCAGATTGAATGCAGAAAGCATTTTTGGGAGAAAAGATGGTCTTGGACACAAGTCAACATTGTCATTTTTGAAGTATGAGGAAAGGCTCTTTTTCCAGTTAAGGGCCACCAATTCAAAGACATGTGTGAGACACAATAGCTGCCAAAAAGGCTACCTTGCTAACAAGAATCTCCAGGGGAATATCCTGTTAGAAGTTGGGTTATGTCTGTATACCAGCTTCTTCTGGGCCAGTTCGGTGTAATTAGAATCACCGTTTTTTTTTTCTCTTCCTTGGGCATCTGAGGCCAACACAAGAAGTTGCATGTTGTTGAATCTGGAGGCCATCTCAGATTGAACACATCTGGATGAAGCCCGCTTCTTTGTTTCTGTTATAACATTTTGCAAATAAATAATCGCTCTTCATAAATTTAGGCCAAAATGTATACTGCTACATTTCTTTGACAAAAATAACCCAAATCAGTGTATATTATTTAGTCTGTAGGAAAGTTATACAATGTGTATAGAAAAAAAAAACACCTCTCCATACAATAATCACATTTTGTCGTTTGCTACCAGAAATTAAGACAGACAGCTTTTATTTTAGCCAGCAGTATTTATAACATCCAAGTGGAAGATATAATACCAACAGAAGGGAAAGAAAAAAAAAAATAAAAAAAAAAAAAATCGCAAAACAGAATCACTGAATCAGAAAAAGGATCACCCCTTTGTCAGTATTTTGTTGAACCACCTTTTACTTTAAAAACAGCCTTTAGTCTGTTATATGTTTCTACTAACTTTGCACATCTAGACTTTGCAGCCTGAAATGAAAAACAGCCACACAGTTTTGCTTCGGCAAAGCAACAAAATGTGATCAGTTTAAAAATCGAACTGTAGGTGTATTGTAACGCTGAGAGACAGAATAGCAACAAAGTACATGACTTAGTACTTGTTGGCAAATCCCTTGTTGGAAATCACGGAAATCACAGAGGTCAGACGTTTGACTCTCGTACACCTCTTAACCTCTTGCCGACCGCGCATAGCCGAATGACGGCTTCACCGCGGCCGGCCAGTTCTGAGTGGACGTCATATGACGTCCTCCCAGAACGCGCTCTCCTGCGCGCCCCAGGGGGCGCGCACCCGGCGATCTCCGTGATCGCTGTGTCCTACGGACACAGCTGATCACGTGATGTGGTGAAAGGCCGATCCCACCGGCCTTTTACCACGTGATCAGCGGTGTCCAATGACACGCTGATCACAGGGAAATGCAAGTGCCGGTTCTCGGCTGCACTTTCCTCACGCTGTCAGATCGTGAGGAAAGTACTGCCGAGAACCGGCAGTTGTCAGAGCGGGGATCGGCACCGATCATCAGGGCACTGATGATCAGTGCCCTGATGATCGGTGCCCAGCAGTGACACCAGCAAGTTCCGCCCAGCAGTGCGCCCACTAGCCCTGCCCACCCGTGCCCAGCAGTGCCCCCACCCGTGCCCAGCAGTGCCCCCACCCGTGCCCAGCAGTGCCCCCACCTGTGCCCAGCAGTGCCCCCACCTGTGCCACTCTGCAGTGCCACCTACCTGTGCCCAGAAGTGCCACCTACATGTGCCCAGCAGTGCCACCCACCTGTGCCCACCCACCTGTGCCCACCAGTGCCACCCACCTGTGCCCACCAGTGCCACCCACCTGTGCCCACCCACCAGAGCTGCCCACCAGTGCCACCCACCAGTGCAGCCCACCAGTGCTGCCAGTCAGTGCCACCAGTCAGTGCCCAGGTGTTGTGCCAGTCAGTGCCGCCAGTCAGTGCCCAGAAGTGATGCCAGTCAGTGCCGTCTATCAGTACCCATCATCAGTGTCACCTATCAGTGCCGCCTATCAGTGCTGCATATCAGTGCCGCCTATCCGTGACCCCTAATTAGTGCTGTCTATCAGTGCCGCCTATCCGTGCCACCTCATTAGTACTGCCTATCAGTGCCCTTTAGTGCTGCCTATCAGTGCCGCCTATCAGTGCCCATCAGTGCCGCCTCATCAACGCAAATCAGTGAAGGAGAAAAATTACCTGTTTGAAAAATTTTATAAAAGAAACAAATAAACTTTTTTTTTTTTTCAAATTTTTTGCACTTTTTTGAATTTATAGCGCAAAAAGTAAAGCGCCCAGTGGCGATTAAATACCACCAAAAGAAAGCTCTATTTGTGAGAAAAAAATGATCAAAATTTCATATGGGTACAATGTTGCATGACCGCGCAATTGTCAATCAAAGTGCGGCAGCGCTGAAAGCTGAAAATTGGCCTGGTAAGGAAGGGGGTATAAGTGCCTGGTAGGCAAGTGGTTAAACCACTAACTGAACTCACAGGTCTGAAAAATCTGACCCAGAGAGAGGCAAACTAGCAGATGTCCCCCACCCTTTGGAGTGAGGGTGCCCCTTCATTGTGAAGCAGGCTTTGGAGAAAGCTTGGTGGCTTTTGTTGGCCAAACCTCGTGCCCAAAGGAAAGGCTGAACTTAGGTTTAGAAGTTGAACTATAGTGGACAGGCGTTGTGCCTTTAGAACAGCTAGGGGTTCATGAGGAGGGTGGTTTGGGGATCTTCTTCTGTGGAAATAAAACCTTTCCACCTGACCTCTGATGAATCGGTCAAGTGTCTCACCAGAAGTCTTCCTTGAAAGGGCATAAGGGTGAAGCACCTCTTAAAGATTCTGCGCATGTGAATGGAGATTATCACCATTCTGGAGATGGGTTCTGACTTGTTCTAGGGCATCCATAAAGAAACTAATTGCTGTAATTGCTCTGAAACATTGTGGTCCTGAAATACAGGGTCAGGTTGATTCATTTTCCCTTATCCAGTTAACTGCAGTTTTACTGAAATTGCAGAGAGCCAGTTCTTCGAAAGAATGAACATCTTGGATAGGTACAGTGAGATGTTTAAGACAGACGGCAAGATCATCCACAAGAATAGCCCACTACTTAGCGAACGTTTTGTAGGTTTCTACAGATCTTTGTGCCTACGAATGAGCATGGCGAGACTGAAGAGAGTCAGGTTATATAATGTCAAGGCTTTTGTGGACAAAGGCAAAGAGCTTTTCAACGTTAGCAAGCATATCTGGTAAAACACCTTGTTCAATATAGTGACAATCTGGAAGAGAGAAACTGAACCTTCTGTGGCTTCCTTCAATACTCTCTTAGTAACCTCTTCATTCCCTTTTAACCTTTTAACTTAACATCCTCTAAGACTGGCATATCTGGATCAGAGTCTGGTTGTGAAACAGGAGTAGAAGCAGCTAAGCATTTCCGAGCCCCGAACATAGATGGCTATATTAATGCTGTTATCTGTTCAAGGAAATGTGACAGATGCAGAAAATTCTGCTTTAGTCAAATAGGCCACTTGTTGAGTTCCTGAAACAAAGCTATAATTCAGATGCTGAGACTGAAGTTAGAACTGGTTCTTGCTCTGGTGCAATGGAGACATTGTCTCTCTGGTGCAAGGGGCACATGGTCTCTTTGAGGTCGAGTATTGTGTGGGCCCTTGGCAGAGCAAATATTTGGCAGTGTCCAATCACCTGAAGGTACGTGCTTACAACGTACCTTGTACCAGCTTAGCCCAGCTCCGCATAACAGCAATGAACCAATGTGCAGAGCAAAACCTAGGTTGCCACTGCTGACCTTCATCTGAAAATGTAAAATTTTCAGAGTCACTGACCTGGAACAGGCTGATCAGGAGTTTTGATTTTACTGGCTGCATGCTTCTCCCAGGTAAGCAGCTCAGAAAGTACACTTTTAGTAGATCACTAGTGGCAGCCTATGTTACCCTTCTTGTGCACTGTAGCGTGTAAAACACAAGTTTGTACAGAAATAAAAATCTTTTGGCAAGAAAAAAAAAAAAAAAAAACAGTAAACACATGCAATTTGATCTCAACTGTGTATTCGGTCTTTGCTAGGCTTTTACTTTAAGTTTTGTTTTATTTTTTATTCTAATACCAAGAAAGGATAAACTAAATAGTAACTTACAGGTGGGGAGAGTTCTAGAAGATCTTGAATCCTACTCAGAATGTCTTCTACAAATGTATTCATGTGCTTACTAAGAAAATAAACACATGGACAATTAGCATGTTTATATAATTTCAAATATCTGAAAGTTTTAAAAAATTGGGTGCGGCAGAGTACATTAAAGATGTATTTTACATCAATATCTATTAAAACCTTTTTTTCCAGTAACTAGTGGGAATAGCCTTGAATTATGGTGAAAGTATTAATCAGCTTGTAATTAACACTCAGCTAACACTTAATAGGATCTAGTGACAAATTAGTAAGGTTTTGGTGTTTGAAAAGAAGGGGGGTTACTGCAGCACAAAGGTGAGAATGAGCCCTTACTTACTGAAGAGTTGCACTTACTGAAGTGATTTCACAAAACGTGAAAAAAGGTAAGATGTTCTACTGCGAACTTTAGGACTAGAATGGCGTAAGCCTCTATGATCCAGAAAAGCCATCTGAAATTAGAGAAGACAAATAAACAGTGTCACTTTCTGATAGAAAACAGTGCCAGATCATCTCCTAAAGTTTGTGGTCCATTAAATAAACCAAACGGTAGTGGGTTTTTTTCACTTTACTTTAAATGCATTTATTCATACATATATTTTTTAAAAATCTAATCTCAACTGCTAAAATCAAAAAATGTTTTGTGGTGGATGCCAAACTAAAGCCTGCATGGTACTTTGAAAAGTTGACTTCTTTCAAAGTACACTGCTCAAAATAAATTAAAGGAACACTTTGGAAACACATTAGATCTCAATGAGGAAAAATATCATGCTGGATATCTATACTGATATGATATGAACTGGGTAATGTGTTAGGAATGTAAGGATGCCCTATCAATGGAAATGAAAATGATCAACCTACAGAGGACTGAATTTAAAGACACCCCGAAAATCAAAGTGAAAAAATGATGCAGCAGGCTAGTCCATTTTGCTGAAATTTGATTGCAACTCCTCAAAATGGTACTCAGTAGTTTGTATGGCCCCCATGTGCTTGTATGCAGGCCTGACAACGTTGGGGCATGCGCCTATTGAGATGATGGATGATGTCCTGTGGTATTTCCCCCCCAGATCTTGACCATGGCATCACTGAGCTCCTGGACAGTGAGGTGCAACCTGGTGGCGTTGGATGGACCGAAACATGATATCCCAGAGGTGTTCTATTGGATTTAGGTCAGACTAGCATGGGGGCCATTCAATGGTATCAATTCCTTCATCTTACAGGAACTTCTTGTATTCTCTCACATGAGGCCGAGCATTGTCGTGCACAAGGATGAACCCAGGACCCACTGCACCAGTGTAGGGTCTGACAATGGGTCCAAGGATTTCATCTCACTACCTAAATCGCACTCAGGGTTCCATTGTCTAGCCCAGGGGTCTGCAACCTTTAAGACATAAAGAGCCACTTGGACCCGTTTCCGAGAGGGAAAAAAAGACTGGGAGCCGCAAAACCATTGCAACATTTAAAACAAATCCGACACTGCATATATTGCAAAAAACGCTCTGGTCATGAAGGGGGTTTAAGGGCCCAGTAAGCAAAGGGTTAATCAGGGCCACAGTGTATCGTCATAATCACAATCATAGCCTTAGGTCAGTGGTGGGCAACCTTTTTTTTCGACTGAGCCAAATCTCGCCAAAACCACGATTGAAATTTATTTTGAGAGAAACCTTTTTAAAACTGAAAATACATCCCCCATATAGTAATTCATCCCCCCTATAGTAATTCATCCCCCCCTATATAGTAATTCATCCCCCATAGTAATTCATCCCCCTATAGTAATTCATCCCCCCTATAGTAATTCATCCCCCCTATAGTAATTCATCCCCCATATAGTAATTCATCCCCCATATAGTAATTCATCCCCCATATAGTAATTCATCCCCCATATAGTAATTCATCCCCCATATAGTAATTCATCCCCCATAGTAATTCATCCCCCATATAGTAATTCATCCCCCCTATAGTAATTCATCCCCCATATAGTAATTCATCCCCCATATAGTAATTCATCCCCCATATAGTAATTCATCCCCCCTATAGTAATTCATCCCCCCCCTATAGTAATTCATTCCCCATATTGTGTGAATTCACTTACCTTTGCTCCGCGCGTTCCTCTCGCTGGGTTCCCGCGCCGTTTCTGGTCTTCAGGGCGGACTGTGAGAGGAGTTCGTCACGCTGCCCCGCCTACATCCGGGCTGCCCCGCCTACATCCTGACAGCCAATGTTTGCCAGCGGGCGCCCGGCACACAGAAGATCTGCATTAAAAGAGCCGCGGCTTGCCGACCCTATTGCCTGTCACCTGGTGGGCAGTGTGCTCCGGAGCCGCAGGAAAGGTGAAAAAAGAGCCTCATGCGGCTCCGGAGCCGCGGGTTGCCGACACCCGGTCTAGCCTGTTGAGGTCTGTGTGTCCCTCATGGATATGCCTCCCCAGACCATCACTGACCCACCACCAAAATGGTCATGCTGAACGATCTTAAAAGGCAGCATAACGTTCTCCATGGCTTCTCCAGACCCTTTCACATCTGTCACATGTGCTCAGGGTGAACCTGCTCTCATCTGTGAAAAGCACAGGTTGCCAGTGGTGGACCTGCCAATTCTGGTGTTCAATGGCAAATGCCAACTGAGCTCTACGGTGCCAGGCAGTGAGAACAGGGTCCACTAGAGGATGCCGGGGCCCTCAGGCCACCCACATGAAGTCTGTTTCTGATTGTTTGGTCAGAGACATTCACATTAGTGGCCTGCTAGAGGTAATTTTGTAGGGCTCTGGCAGTGCTCATCCTATTCCTCCTTGCACAAAGGAGTAGATACCGGTCCTGCTGATGGGTTAAGGACCTTCTACGTCTCTGTCCAGCTCTCCTAGAGTAACTACCTGTCTCCTGGAATGTCCTTCATGCTCTTGAGAAGCACAGCAAAGCTTATGGCAATGGCAGATATTGATGTGCCATCCTGAAGATGCTGGGACTGCCTGTGCAACCTCTGCAGGGTCCAGATATCGCCTCATGCTACCAGTAGTGACACGGACCCTAGCCAAATGCAAAACTAGTGACTCCACTCAACTCAAATTTTGAGTTTTGACTTACTTTCTGGATGGGTAACAATTCACCAAAATAGGCAGGGTGAATCTCCAAAGCAGGACAGCAATAAAACCTGTCAGGGATTCTAATGCTTCCACACTAATCGAAAACAAAAATATAGTTTTTTTTTATGTAGACTTAACAAAAACAAAAAAACCTTCCATTGTTATTTGCCCTATAAACTTAACATGATACCATCAAAAAAAGAAAAAAAAAAAAAAAAAAAAGAGAAGAATGGTCTATTAAAAGATAAAACAACAAAGCCAACTTTTGCTGCACTATTCTCTGTTAATCCAGAGAGACTTTCCCCTCTTAGATGTACTTAACAGCCAGCATCATCCAAACATTTTCATTGGAGCCCAGGTGACCCTGGACCTGCCCCCACCTGGGGCTGGAGAGTGAAAAGAGAAGCTACACAAAAATAAATTAATTTCTCTGTAAACTCTTTTGCTACCTATCAGCATAAACCGATTGGCTCTGTGCACTGTTGCTTCCTTTAACACTCCAGCCCTGCTGTACAGGGACTGCAAGAGGCTGATACCAGGTCACATTCAGGTAGTTACACTGCAAGGTACATTTGAAGCAGAAGAGACCAATGCTCACCTTCTCAATGGTCCCTCGCCAGCATTTTCTCCTACACACCAGTTTTCGGCTATCTTCATTGGTCAGCGAGCAAATCTTGCACAGGAGATAGTAATTTTGGCACACAGAGATTGGGCTGGCTGTTGTAAGCTGCGCTTTGAACAGGAAGTTAGGTGCAGTTTATTTAGACACTCTGCATGTCTCTTCTGCATTAAAAAGATTGCCTGTTCACAGTGGCAGCAGAACTTTAGTTGTAATTTAATGATGTAATAATACAGAGCTGCATCTGTCTTTAATATCTGCCAAAAGCTCAGGATTAATTTAAGTTGAATTCCCACCCAGGATCACTGTGTACTTTAATGCTTACAACCTCAGTGCTGTACCTGAACAGTAACAATCCATAACCCTGAATATGGTCATACTCCTAGGATCTCTGCTATTGAGTACAATCCTACGCAAACCTATGGGGAGTTACTGTGCAAACAATGATGAAGAAGATTTCAGACAAAAGGGAGGTAACATTGGAGAATGGTGCCATCATCTAGAAGTAGTAAGCAAGTACCTGGATAGAGGGTTGTGCCTTAGATAGGGTTAAGAGGCTAGGGAGTGCAGGCTTTTTTTTTTCTTAAAACAAGATTCAGTTAATCAAATTCACATATTTTTGCAACAAAACACAAAAGCTTACCAAAATATTAGGAATGTGTATGGGTTCAACCGTGAAAAACTTTTCATATCTAACCACAGTTTCAAAAAATTCTAATGTAACAGATGTGTGATGGTAGGCACTCACACCAGAGGTCACAAGCTGGAAGAGAGAAAATTAAAATGTTTTTACAAACAGCACTTCACATGCATAAAACCCATCAACTTTTGCCCCACCGCAAAGCAGCCGAATGCCCACTCAATCCCGATTTCTCACTGCTGCAGGTTCCATGCAGGAGATTACTGATCCAGTGCTACAATGGTGCCCCGAGATCACTGGTCCCTTGCCATCCCCGTGACGACATTGCCCTCTTCTCTCTCCTGAGAGGTCTTTGCTGTGACATGGACACCCAAGGAGAAGACTAGGGCTGGCAAAGTCACACGATTGTGACTTCAGGTTTTTTTTCTTTTTTTTTGAGCAATCAGAAGGGGGTGTTAAGGTTAGAGGTAATTTTTAACACAGATTGTCTTTAACCAAATGTCTCCTGCACAAATATATAATCAATTTGGATGGAAGCCAATTAAACTGCAGGGCAGAAAGTGCTCAGGAGAGGATCCATCTAAACATAAAATGTACATGTATATGAGGAATTTGTTATGTATAAATTCAGGAACTTTGTGCTGCAAGAGCAAAAGTGCCAACTACTTCCATATAAAATGGAAAAATATTTGCCTTTAGCTCTTCTTTAATGTTTAAGAATTATGCATGCCATAGACGGTTCGTTTATCGGCCAATTTTTCGTCCAAAAAAGGAAACATCGTTTGTTCTGTAAAACGATGTTGCCACCAATGATTTAGAAAATCGGCCATTTTTCACGAATTTTCCAGCATGACCGATAAACGAAATGAGGAGGAACCGCTAAAATCGGCCGATGCCATTACCCCACTAACAGTGCGAAAATCGGCCGATAAATGAACCGTCTATGGCCTGCATTAGTCTCTTACAAACAGCATATGAATGGAAAATTAGTAGCAACTGTATCAATTTACATAGCTACATAAAGGTGTGTTAACAGGTGCTAAGTCAGGAACTGACTTACAGTTCTCATCATGTCCTGCAATGCACTTGCTTTAGCAGCGTCTCCACAGAAATGAGCTCCATGGGATGCAGGGATAGCTTCTCCCAGCATGTACAGCAATCGGATGGCAACTTCTACTTCCATAAACAGAGAAGTCTGCCAGTTTCTTCAAATCAAAAAAAAAAAAGACAAAAAAAATGAATATCAAGTACAGAACCCTTAAAACACAATACTGTGATAGCTAAAATAAAAACTAGTTGAAATTTGTTTTAAACTATGCTGAAGGCAAAACAGCCGTTTTGATTGCCTTTCTGAGCAACATAAAAATGTACAGCCTGATGTCTATAAAAAGTCTGAAATGGAATAGCCAGGACATTAAATCTAGGAGCCAGTAGAATATGTGAACACTAAGCAGACGTTCTTTCATTGAACTCCCAAGGAAACATTTGAAGTACCAGTAGTATTTCTAGGCACATTGGAATGTTAACAGCTTTAATAGAATCTAGCATTTACATGACACAGATAACATGCATAAAAGTATAAATAAGGTAACAGAAAATTGCACTGTCTCTTTATGATTACTTATTTTCTCACTAGTTAGCAGTAGCTTCTTAGCAACATGGCTATATGGTGTTTAATTATGGTCACTAGAGCATCTTCAAAAATTCAATCAGGACTTCAGAATTTTTTTTTTAACTGCTTACACATAAGGCACAAAACATTTTATGGTTATGCTAGAACTAGAGCCAAAAGGAGGGAATTGCAAAAGTCACTTACTGTAGTGTACTATTGAAAACTCTGCGAACAGAGGCCAACAGTAGTTCTGGTGACACTTGTGCAAGACGGTCCAACAGCAATTTCAGCTGCTTTCTGTATTCAACAAACATAGCTTCATCTTCACCCTGTTTTTGAAAAACATGATTTTTCTTTTAGTACAAGCAAACAGATGACAGAATAAATTATTCCCTTTGAATTGCACTGCATAATGCTGCTTCTAATTTCTAAGTTTTCCACACCCAAATTTAATAGAATGGAGTTCAAAACAAAGGTTATAATAAAATATCCATTTTAAATTTAGTTTGTCAGAGGCCATTATGATAAGATACTAGGATTATCAATATTCACCAATGTACGTTTTGCAGCTTCCCTTATTGCCTTCCTTGCTCTAGTCTGCTGACTGGACAATACATAAATATTGTTACACTTGTAAAATCCTCTCTTTCTGCTCCTATAAACTGCCTCAACACGTCTTTAACACAGTTAACGGAGGGCAGCTAAAAGCACTTATGGTCTAGATTGGCTCTGGAAGCTGTCCCCATTTACTACTCCCTGCTCCGAGGACTCTGAGGAAGAGGGGGAACTGTACCTTGAAGTGCGTCAGCCATCTGAGGGTCTTCTCGAGGTTTGGGCGTTGACCTGGTCGCTTTGGAAATTATGATGCTTTTGACACAATTGTTTGAGTATATATTTTGGCATTTTAATAGAAAGTCTATTCTCATGTAATGCACTATGCTGGTACACCCTTTCTTCCATTGTTCTGGCAATTTACATTTGGATTCCCCCCGACCCTTAGACGGCAGCAAGCCCTGTGCGGGCGATGGGCGCTTAAAGACCTGTACTGTTCATATTATCCCACAACTCTTTGAGTGCAGGGGATTTCTTTGTGTTTTTTTTCCTGATGTTTAACAAGCCCCCAAGTTCATGTGCACATCTCCAGGATGTTGCTGGTAAAGCATGGTCCATAGCATGGAGTACTGGAGGTATAGAATACCAGCAGGTGACAATCTTAAAGCAGGATTTGTTACTTATGGAGGAGTTACAGGACAAGTTTTAATACTTTAATAGCAAATCAATTACTGCACATTTTTAGACTAAGCACACCAAGTAATACATTGACCAATTCATCCCATTTGGGCAACAAAACATAATATTTCCTCTATCTTGTTAAAATGACACGTATAATGAAATAACCTAACAATAAATTTGCTTCAATCCAATTTGATGAATCACATGTTGCATAGTAAGAAAAAGTTATTTTTAACTAAAAAAACCCCCAAAAAACAACAAAAAAAAAAAACCCCAACACAGTATAGTTCACTAAATGCTGTATGCAATCACTGATGTAAGGCAAAGTATGTCAGTTTTATGAGGGCACAGATATATACTATTAAAAAAAGGCACTAGAAAAAACAGGGTTAGAAGTCTTCTGTTTATTATCCGAAAATCTTAATTTTCAACAATATCAAACTTGCCTCATTATCAAAGTTATTATTCTTCATCATAAGTTAATTTCTTCATTACTGCCAACATTATGGTCTACAAGAGATAAAATAATCATTAGACAATACATTTAAAACAAAGACAGACTGTAATCAAAATTAGAGAACAACTAGTTTCCCTGGCATGCAGATGAGGTTTAAGGCTGGCTACACACCTGCCAACTATGATGCATTGCGTTAATAAATAGGCTGCTAACACACCATAGCATTTTTTTTTTTACTCTGGCACAGTGGCCATACTGCACAGTAGTGTGCTTCAAGTTTCACTCCAATGGAAAATATAATCTCTTCATGCATTTATTGTATAATTTAATACCACCGCTTTACTGATGAAGTTGTTCCAAAGTTTAAAGAAACTCCTAAGACTCAAGTACATCCCATCTTGTACGTTTATAGATGTATAAAGAGTTTATTAGGTGGTTTTATATAACTGACATGGCAAGAGCATGGAGGCGTTTGTATAAAATCTTCTTTTGTTTGGGACATTAAAAAAAAAAAAATCAAGTTTTTATTAAATATTTATATGTATTATTGGTACCATGAAAAGTCTCTTTTGTATCATATAATATTTCCCTGAAGGCATGAGGACCACTCACCTCTACATTAGCTTTCTGTTGATCAGTGAGCATAACCAACTGCAAAAGCAAAGTATTTATTATTACAATAAGGCCAATGCAAAATTTAAAATCACTTCACATTATACACATTTACTGTCTACTTTTGAGCACTGCTAATACCCATTCTGTATATTATGGATAGTCATACACAGGGTGTTTCTTCCACTGAACAGCTGCTAGATCAAAATTAAAAAATATGTAAACCTAACATTTCATATGCCCGCTGTACCATGTACTTGTATGTCAAAGTATCCTGTTCTCTTTGTATTGCTTCCTTTGTGTGAAATCCCTGGTATTCCTGTCCCTCTACTTTCCTAATAAAAACTGACTAAGCTAGGCAGGAAAGCACACAGTGGTCAGTTATCTATCTGTGCTGGAAACTCAGTCTTCTCTCCTCCAATGACCAGACCTGTCCGCACACCCTCTCCACACTGCACAGCCTTTCACTGGAAAGACCAGTGTACTGCTATTTCTCCTCCCAGCTCTTATGCAGCTGGGAACAGAGGAAATGTGATCACCTACAAAAAAGGAAAAAAAGGGGTGTGTATATAACTTTATATACAAATGTTTTGCTTTTTTTTTCTATTTTAAACGGAATGGGTTGTTTTACAAGGTGAGGGTTTACAATCACCTTAACCACTTTTCTGTCAAAATCATTTTTTCAGGTTAGGTTAGGGGACCAAAAGGACATCATTTTTGTTTAGTCAAGGATTACATTTTTGAAGCACTAGGATAATACTAGGACTCTGTGCAATGCAGATAGATTATGGCTTGTGGGATGGGTTGGCATGGTGCTGTCCATAATAGTTTCCAGAAAACATCACAGCAACCCTTTCTCAGTGCTCCTCCAAAGAGCTCTCAAATTCTGATGAAATCCATGGGTGGGTTATCAAAAGGAATTACACAAATATCAAAATGCCTTAATGGGTAGACGGGCCAGTCTGGGAGAGTGGGTGTTCCTAGACAGGCTGAGATTGCCTGCAGACTGCTCCAGGTAACTTCTACATGTGATGCTGCACATCCATGATTGAAAGAACTGAAATTCAAGGACAGGCAGGGTGTGGAGGAAAGAGAGGATCATGGGAGATCCTCCAGCCAAGTAATGAAGCAGGCTTGATCTGACTTGCTGCAGCTTCTTATATACACAGTGAGGAGCTTGTAGAAAGCAGTGAAATCAGAGCAAGCAATTTCATCACAGAAGAACAGCCTGTCAATGACTGAAGGTAAGGCTGGGGTTTAGCATTAAGGCCCCATTCAATCGTGTGCGACAGGTTGCCTTTTTTTTTTAATTTTTTTCCAATTGAATGGGTTGACTTATGTGTTACAAACACGCCAACATAATTCCTACACTCTTTAGCAGTGAGCCTCGTGAGTTTCTGAAAAGAGCATTTTGACGTCACTGCTACCCACGTAACCACTGCTGCAAAAGTGACTGCAGAGCTCAATCTTAGTCTTCATGGGACTAAGATTGAACTCTGCAGTCACTTTTGCAGCAGTTATTTTCTAATTCTGGGTCACAATTCTGTGCAGTGTCCTTTGTCTCTTTCGGTCAGTTGACCATTTCGATCGTGCTTGTGCTCACCAGGCAAGGTTTTCCCGGAAACTATATTCCATCATAACTCTACAGACTGTACCCACCCGTTAGCTAGGTGTCTTATCACAGAAGAAGCAAAAGAATGTTACATCACTTTCAACATGAAACATGTCGTCACATGAGTTGTGTAGAGAGAAGAGTTTGGTGCTGCTGTCCTGGAAGACTTCAATTCCCATATTGTTTTTCAGGACAGCATTGGAGAATTAACGCGTAATTACCAGATTAATGAGGGACAAAAGCCTACAGAGCTCTCCTACAGGGATGACCATGATTGTTAAGCTTAGTACACACAATCAGAAAATCGTACGAAAAATACTGCTTTCTCGTACAATACCAGAACGTACAATTTTCGTTTAATCAGTACAGTTTTCGTCTGAAAATGCAATACAAATGCACTACATTACTTCCGAATTTTTATTCGGTCATACTAGAATTTTTGTAACCTCTTCACTTTCGATAAGAGACTAGAATGCAAAAAAAGAAAACCCCCCAAAACATACTCAGAGGAATAGTGTTACTTGAATTGTATTCCAGGATTTGCTTGTCCTCAGCTGACAGAACTTGCAATAATATAAGACTTTACAGTGTATCAGAAATATTTAATTAAGGACTTCATGTTATAGTTTGAATACCATGTCATAGATATACTATTTATCATTGTAAAATAACATTTCACACTTTTTTTTTTTTTTTACAATTTTTCCAGAAAGTGCTTAGATTTTTTTCCCCCCAGGCTTATAAAGTGGATTGGAATGGGTAGTCAAGGATCTGATCTGCCCAATGGTGCAGATTCTTGACTGACCGCTCCACTCAGCTTTATTCAGGCCCTCACCCCAGGCTGTGCAAAATAAAAGGAGATGTCACAGGACACGTGATCTGGTCTGGATTAGCCCCACCCTCAGCCCAGGCCATGCTGCATGGGAGACTAAGGAAGGAAATAAAAAAAAAAAAAAATACATTAAAAAAAAACAAAAACGACATGTGTCCCCAACTGTAAAGAGGAAAAAAAAAAAAGTATTTAAAGTTGTATTAAATCCAAAACCAAAAATTTTATATTGTCATTTAACAATCCTTAGATGTGGTGGCTGCATCAGTTTTCTTTTCTTAGACTTTTCTCCCTATATTTTCACCTGGTGATCTGGCCAGTAATATCTCCTGTATTACAGTACCCCGACTCTAGATAAGCACAGGGGACAACTTTGGACAGCAACATTGTCAGCCTGGGAGGAGGGGAATGTTACACGTACTAGCAGATTTAAATATACTAACAAACTGAAGTCGAACTCAAGGTAATACTTTATAAGCAGTTACAGCAGAGGTTTTCCTTTTTGGGATAAAGGTTTTTACATAAATAAATAAAAGCTAATCACTGTAAGCACCTGTCAGTGTTGAATGGTTTGTTTCATCTATGTAACCGATACATTCTGCTGGAGAGCTTTTTCTTTTAAAAAGCAGACTTACTTGGCTAGATCACCAGATGAATTTAGAAAAAATAAAGCCTAAAATAGAAAGTGAATGCAGCCATGACATCTAAGAATTGGTAAGCTGCAATATAATAAATGTTTGCTTTTGGATTTAATACCAACAATAAATTTAAAAAGCATTTTTTATTGTAAAAAGTGGCTGCTAGAGTGCCCCATCATATAAATGTGGAAGAACTAGCGGGATTTAAAATCACTTTAACTTCCTCAATACCACCATGAATATATATACAGCTTCGTTTTGAGGTGGTTACACCAACATCATGGTTACAGCTACAGCCATGATCCCGGTACTGCCTTGTTCAGCCGTTGATTCACTTATGTAAAAGTGATCAATTTTACAGGCAGTGAAACAGGGTTCCCCCACTCCACTTTCCCAAGCTCTTTCGTCCCACTGGGGAACCTGGGACCGATGTGACCATGTGCATCGGGTGCACTAGGAAGAGTGAGAGGAAATGCCATTATTCCTCCCACTCGGATGTCAAAAACCAGAATTGACAAGGATTTAGTCACTTCTGGTTTTGGTTTATTTACAAACTGTTATTGACTTGTAAAGCAACCAATCATACTGATCTTGGTTTGATCAGCTGCTTTGCAGGCCAAAGGAACGATATGGGGTCACACAGACCCCAGATATCTCCATAAAGAAGTCCTGTCACGGACCAAGCTATCACAAGGGATGTTGTTCATCCCTTGTCACAGCAATAAAGTTGTCAAAAAATAAATAATGGTACAGTGTAATAAAAATAAATGTATATATTAAAAAAAAAATTAAAGTGACCTGCCCCTCTGTGCAAATGCACAAATTGGTCCCGCATGCATATGTAAACAGTGATTGCACCACAGCAAACATCAAAGTGCAATCATTAATTTTAGCACCAGGCCACCTGTGTAATTCTAAACTAGTAACCTGTAAAGACTTTTAAAGGGTCACCTATGGATAATTTAATGCACTGTAGTTTGTTCTTTATTCCAATAGTGTGCGCAGTTTTAAACCGTGACATGTTTGGGGTTTCTAAGTAATTTTATAGCCAAAAAAAAAAAAAAAGTACGTGAGAAATGCTAGAAATGGCCAGGGGGTCAAATGGTGAAGTACTGTATATACAACCACCATTTGGTCTTGTGAATGTGAATTCTGATACAAATTAAAGGTATCTATTTTTCTAGGCTCCATCTTAACGCTGGTTAAAATGTTAATTGAACATTACGATGATCTACAGTATTCTATTTTAGTACGAATAATGATTGGCTAAAGAAGATGCAGGTATGATGTTTTCCTTCTTGGAAGAGTATGGAATCCATACTATGTGCCCCCCTACAGACAGAATTAGTTTAAAAAACCAACACATAACAACTTGGTGAATTTTAACAGAACAAGGTGTCCCCTGTTCCTGACCCTCAAAGTAATCCCCAAACACACCAGTGCCTGCTGAGGGTGAAATACAGCCAACCCTGCCAGGACACTTGAAACAAATTACTCAGGGTCACAGACAGGACCCCCCAAAAAAAGCGAGGGGGAAGAAATGTAATAACTATAGACTACATAAACAGGCAGACAAGAAACCAGCTACATGTTTACATGCATTTTGCTGGGTCCGCAGGTTTCAATCAGCCCCAGAGATGCTGTCTGCACTCAAGTTGATCAAAGAAGGGGGTACAAACAGGCCCCATCCACTTTCCCCTGTGCTTTGACAGTCCTGAAACCAGGAGCTGCAAGACTTAAGGCAGTGACAATATTTACACTTGGCGGCTGGCGTCACTGATCATGTAAACTCAGTCTTGAGCATCCCCAGCAGGGACATTCCCTTACTGCTAACAGAAGGGAACCACATCAGCCCAGATTGGGGAGCAAGGCACCTCACAAGGCATTCCCCGGGGAGTGCGCTCAGATCTTCTCACCCATAAAGAGAAAGGTACCTGGGGAAGAATTTCCAAGAGTCTCACTCAAGGAGGGTGAGGCAAAGAGTGGGGGAGGGGGAGGGGTTGCGAATGGTGGACTACAGGAAAAAAAAAATAAATCTTAAGCTGAGACTACTTCCACCAGGTTCCAAGTGATGCATCTCCTGTAGAGAGATAAAACACAGTAGCAGACTAGTTCAGCAGGACTTCCATTTAAAAGAGTTTTTGTATTTGATGAAATTCCTTTTGAGGGAGATGCCCACATCTTGCGTTGTCCTGTAAGACTATTTGGAAAAATATTTCTTATGATCAGGAAGAAAAGAAAAAAAAATGTAAAAGCTAATAAATGATCTTGTTCTTACTTGTTTTAAGATATGTAAATACTCATAACAAAATCCAATAATGTTGGAAGAGATGTCATCATCTTCATGGATAAGCAACTGCAACATCAGAGGCACTTTGGATTCAATAGACTGCAGTGTGTCTTGTGCATTCTTCAGATCACCAGATTTTGCCAGCTTAGTCCAGCTAATCACCAGAGATTGTCCCATTCCATTCACTAGCTTTGAAAACCTGGCCAGGAAATCCACATCTTCTTCCTGATTCAAATCAAATTAGATTCATGGGAGAACCAGAAGTGAAAACAGTAAGTCGGAAGAGGTGATGCTTACAAATTCAGCACTGAACTGATGATTTCTTCATCTCTGTATGAAAGTCAACAGAAACATTCTAATCTTTAAAGACATGCACTTTTTTCACCTCCTCTTGTCTGACAGGATTGCAGACATTATATAATGTGTAAAAGCCTGCAGAAGGAAATGTCTCTAAACAAATAACATGACTATCAGGTCAAAAAAAAGTGACACTTCAGTGCTTCCTAAAAAAAAAAAAACAAAAAAAAAAAAAACAAAAAATTAGTCTATCCGACCTAAACTTGGAAATGTATAGCTCAGCACATTTATTAGTGTAAGTGTGTGGGACCTGACACTGCAAGTGTCAAAGATAAGATGGGAACTGACATTCTCTACAGCTATACCACTGGGTTTTTTTTTTTTTGATGAAGTAAAATGGGCACCTAGCCTGTACTACTTCCTGTACCTTCATTGTCTTATAGCATACCTAACTCAAAAACCATTTATAAATTGCAGCTTACCAATCCTTAAAGTTGCTGCAGTTAAACAAGGTGGCTGCATTTGTTTTTGTTTTTTTTTCTAGACTACTGCAAAAAAAAAAAAACAAAAAAAAAACGCTCTTCATATCCTTGGGCGGCTATATTCACTCACTTCACTACATCTCTATTACATGGGGGTGTGGGGTTTGTAGTTCATAGAAGATGGATACATTTTTTTTGCTTTCAGTTCAGCTCACAGGAAGTGGCAAGATCAACAGTTATTTTTTGTACTTGCTGAACATGTCCTTGGTCTGATAAATGGAAATTAAGTTTTGTCTTTGGGTTTAGATGGCCTAATGCGGGCCATATATGGGTCGAATTCCGAACAAATTTTCTTTAGAAAATTCAGAAATTTTGTGCATTTTGTAATGCAATGGTGCCACCATTGATTTCGAAATTCAAACAACCAAGCCTTCAAATTTCACCTCTTGTTGCTACAGAAAAGAATTTTCATGGCCAAGAAATTTCTTTTCATTCCAGGTCACAGCTCGTGTTCATTTCTTTTTCGTTTATATTTCCCGCATGATTCTCCCATCATTGATTCAAAATTAGTTTGTTTTTCAAAAAATTTCCAAAATGCCCGATCACTCAGATTTGATGGTCACACAAAAATCGTCCGTTTCTGTGACCCACTAATGGTGCAAAATTCGAACGAAAATTCTTAGAAAAGATTTTTTAAAGAAAATTCTTTTGGAATTCAACCAGTGTATGGCTGGCTTTAAATACACTATATTGCCAAAAGTATTGGGCCCCCCCCCCCCCAAATCATTGGATTAAGGTGTTCCCATCACCTCCATTGCCACAGGTGTATAAAATCAAGCACCTAGGCATGTAGACTTCTTCTACAAACATTTGTGAAAGGATGAGTCTCTCTCAAGAGCTCAGTGGATTCAAGCGTGGTACCGAGATAGGTTGCTAACAGTTCAATAAGTCCATCCGTAAAATGTCATCGCTTCCACAGTCAACTGTGCTATTACAACAAAGTCAAAGCAACTGGGAGCAGCAACTCAGCCACGAAGTGGGAGGCCACGTAAAATGACTGAGCAGGGTCAACACATTCTGAACTTGGTGATGTAAGGCTTGGATGCAGCTGCTCAGCCATGGAAACCCATTCCATGAAGCTCTCTACACACTGTTGTTGTGCTAACCTGAAGGCCACATGAAGTTTGGAGGTCTTTAACTATTGACTCTGCAGACAGTTGGAGACACTGTGCGCTTCAGAATGCACTGACCCCACTCTGTCATTTTTACGCGGTCTACCACGTCCTGGCTGAGTTGCTGGTCCCAGTTGCTTCCACTTTGTTATAACAGCACTATCAGTTGACTGTGGAATATTTAGTAGCAAGGAAATTTCACAGATGGACTTATTGTACAGGTGGCAACCTATCACAGTAACACACTTGAAATTCACTGAGCTCTTGAGAGCAATACATTCTTTCCCAAATGTTTGTAGAAGCAGTCTGCATGCCTAGGTGCTTGATTTTATACACCTGTAGCCATGGAGGTGATTGGAACACATGAAACCAATGATTTGGAGGGATGTCCCAATACTTTTGGCAATACAGTATAAGTGTGACTGTCAGAAACTTCTCAGTAATGGCAGCATCAACTAAATTTCTCTGCAGGGTTCCTTAAAGTGTTATTAAACACAGCCACTAATAAACATGTAGATTTACTAACAGGGCATTAAAATATTCTAAATCTGAATCATAATCAACCACATTTAAAATAGATTAAAAAAGCTACACTGACCACGTTATGTTCATTCACTTGCTTTGCTCTGCACTGTGTAGTTGGTGGATGGAGAAAGCAGGAAACACTGAAAAGTCACTGCAGGAAGTTTTTTTATGGCCACCCAGCAGTGACTACTCTGTGGTGGTCAAACGGTGTAAATTACGTGGGGCAGAGGGGAGAGGGAGCAGAAAGACACCAAAACAGCTTATTAATGAATACAAGGTTAATCTAAGATGAAGGTAGAGATAATGATGTTGCCAGCTTGCCTCCCCACCTCAGCAAATCAGGGAAAGCCCTGTATTCAAGCCCTGTGAAGGACTATATACTCTATGTAACAAATGATATATACACTTTATACAGCACTGAGAGCAGATCAGTTATCTGGAGGTTAAACTTAAGTCTGGTTTCTAGCATTTTACTCCTATATAGTGTTAAGCAGGTTTTTAAGTTGCATTTAACACAGACTAAAAGTAACAAAATTTAAATTTAACCAAATACAACATATCCTGGCATGGAGCTCAATCACCAGTGTCACAAACCTGTTCAATGCTGAAGAATCCTGCAGACTGTAATACTTGACACAAAGATTCCACTAGTTTGGTTTTATCAACAGGATCCATTCCCTTATTTACAATTTCATACAAACAGTCACATGCTTCCTCACGGAGAACTTCCACTGACATGTGACCAAGCAGCATGTTAATAAATCTGAGAGATTAGCACAAAAGGAGGCAATAGTAATCAATTTAAAACACAAAAGTGAAGTAAAGCATGCAAAATAATAAATGAGGAAAAAACTACATATACAGAAATAAAAGCATGCAGGTCTATTGATTATCATGCACTTCGTTGTTTCTTTGTATGCTTTTATATGATTACTTAGGCCTTTTAAAATGCATATTCTAATAATGTACTTCCAGTAATTTTTGATAAATATATTACTTCTTTTTTTAACTAAAACATTTGCAGTACTTCTACATTGTAAATTAAGAAATATTTAACCATGGCCAAAAAAAAATAAAGTAAAAAATCAGGCACCTAGATTTTGGTAATCACACCAAAGTATTACAAGAATACAACATTCCATTGCCCTTTGCACAGTACTATTAATACACGTGTTGCCCTTTGCACTGTGATATTAACCACTTGCCCTCCTGAGGATTTACCCCCCTTCCTGACCAGGCCAGGCCATTTTTTGCGTTATGGCGCTGCATTACTTTAACTGTCAATTGCCCGTAAGTGCAACGCTGCACCCAAATGAAATTTACGTCCTTTTTTTCCCCCACAAATTGAGCTTTCTTTCAGCGGTATTTGATCGCCTGTGCGTTTTTATTTTTTTCGCTATAAAAAAAAGCCCAACAATTTTGAGAACAAGCAATATTTTTGACTTTTTGCTATTAAACATGTCCAGTAAAAATTGTTTTAAAAAATAGTCAAATTTAGGCCAAAAAAAAAATCCCAATACGTGTAAATTAATTGGTTTACGTGAAAGTTATAGTGTTTACAAATGACGGTATATATACTGGGATTTTTAATTTTTTTTTATTTTTCATTTTTACTAGTAATGGCGGCGGTCAGTGACATATAGCGGGACTGCAGTGGACATTCTGACACTGGGGAGGGAATGGACTTGGTGTTACTGACATCTCCAGTGACAATACAGTGATCAGTGCTAACAAAAAAAAAAAAAAAAAAAGCACTGACACTGTACTAATGGCACTGGGCACGAAGGGGTTAACGGAGTGCTCCATGCAAAGCAGTGTGCAGGAGCTGAAAAGAAAAAACTGTTTTGTTTACCTCTTTCTATCCTGATGCTGGGAGTGTTTTACAAGGGGGGCGGTGTCTGTGTGTTTCACTGTAATCACACTGCTCTCGATGGCTGTGCACAACCATCCAGGGCAGTGTGCCTGAGATGACAGGGAGGAGACTGTTAGTAAACAAAACAGTCCTCCTCCCCATCGGTGATTGTCGGAAATCACCGGGTGCCAGCGAGTAATTACCGATCGGGGCCCAGTGACTGACAACCACGGCCGCCGCACATGGCGGTGCGGGCTCCCCCTACCCGGAACTGCAAAATCACGTATATATGTGATTTTTTTGTACCCGTGCCACCCTGTAGCAATATTTCTGCTATAGGGCGAACGGGAAGCAGTTAATATGGTCTTTGTGTTTACCTGCAGTTTTTACCTAAAATAACTATATAATATTCAGAGCACTATAATACAGGAAAATCTTGGTAAATTAAAACTTTGGTGGATTTCTTCCACATTTCCCTCTCAGTATATTAACAACAAAAGCACACAGCAAGGCAGATGTTTGAGTGTGCTGGGTCTTGCACCCTTCCACTGTCAGTATCACTTCTAATTTCATACATCAGTAGTTTACTCCAACCATTAACACATATTTTGGTGGTCAAAAAGGAGAGAATCTCTATGGCATACTAGAAATGCTGTTAGAATGTCAGTGAGGAAAACATCACAACTATCTACTAGCCGTGCCTTTTTACTTCGCCATTACAGATTGTACAAAAAAAAATGCTGCCACGTGGGGCAAGGGTAAAAATGGTAATTCCTATCAACTGTCAATATGTTCTCTCATTTGCCGTGCAATCACTGCTAGCCATTTTAACGATTGGTTTCTGCTTTGAGTATTTGATACAATATTTCACAAGCATTTTTAAAAATTATTATATACACACACAAATATATGCATACCTGTCATTTGCAATCAATGTCAGATCTATCCATGAGACATAGGCTCCAATAACTTCAAGGCACTGGCATGTCAGTTCTGAGTTTGTGTGCTGATAAGTCTGTAATATTTGGTACCATGATTCCACCAGGTTTGGAATACACTGCTCCCGCATGGTGTCCTTCAATAATGTATTCCTACGTGCTTCCTAGAAAGTAAACAGGTGTGATCATTTGGAGAAGAGTTAATCATATGTTCTACCTATGATTTATTGGCTGTATGTTCTCTATATTCAACTATTTTTTTTTTTTTAACCAGTTGCCGACCGGCCTATAGCTAAATGGCGGCCGGGAGAACACTCGTCCCACCGGGAGGACGCCATACGGCGTCCTTCCCGGAACGCGCATTGCGCATGTCCACTGTAGTGAGATCTGTCACTGGCCGTGTGCCTCGGACACGGCCGATGACAGATCTGTGTACCGGCCCCGTTGCCAGTGCCATGTGACCTGCTGTGGTCACATGACAGTTGTATACAATGGATGGCTTCCTTTCATGTCATCCATTGTATACAAGTGTGTCTAGCTGTGGATGGTCACAGCGATCACAAGCACAGGCTGGGCCAATCACAGCTCATCTGTGTCATGCGAATAGCCGTGGCCAATCACAGCTAATCACAACAAAAAAACCTGAATGAATCGATTTAATTCAGTTAAATGCTTGCTTATAGCAAAGAAATTCTTTGTCCCACACCCTCACAATTCTACTGGCCCATCACTATGCTAGGCTGCCTCACTGGCTACAGGCAGGCAGGCAAGATTTGATATTAAGAGGAAGTGCACAATCTTTACCAATTTCATCTGCCTGGCATTTGGCTGACTTCATGAGGCTGCTGCAGATATGTGCAGGCTCCTGTACATGACTGCACTTTATGTCTGCACCAGCTTTCTTAGGAAACAGTCTTGTTAAAATAACTGTATATATTTTTTTTTTTTTAACAAACATGTTATACTTTCTTGCACTGTGCAATGGTTTTTCACAGAGCAGCCCCGGTCATCATCTTCTCAGGTCCCTCACCAGGTATGCATGTGCACGAAGTAAAAAAACTATACAAAATGTAGCGCATAATCTCTCATAATTGAGATAAATAATGCAAATAAAAGAAAAATATTAAAAGAAAAACTTATGGTAGTGGCAAAGTCTTTCAAATATCACATAAGGAAAAGAGTGATGAGTTGTCACAAAGAGAAAAGATCCTCCACCAACACCATACACAGCCTCTTACCAGAGGGCAAGACCACAGGTCATGTGGTCTTACACAGCATTTATGATCGATCACATGGAAGGGTAGGACCAAAAAACTTCTCCACCTGAAGGCAACGGCACAGCTCACACCACAAGGGTTATACTTCAAAATTGTGGTTTTACAAACAAGAGAAAATATGGAACCATAGAGCTTCTCCACCAAAAGATAACTCCTCAGTCAATAAACGGAAAGGTTATACTTAACTAGACCAACTCAGGATGTTAGGGTGCATGTAAAAGAAACAAAGGCTCCTCATGGCTTAGTATTAGGAAAAAGCAATGTTTAATAGAAGAAATACGCTTACAAACAGTAATAAAAGCATGTGGGTTTGCTTATTGTTTCCACTGACAAAATGGCCACGGTACGTGGCGTGATGTCAGAGGATGTAGCTCCACCCTACGTGTTTTGTCATAAATGTCATCAGGGGCGTGGCCTACGACGTCCATCGTGCCTTATATAGTGCAAGAGAGTAATGATCCACTCCCAGTTGCGTTCCATGGACCGGAACTGCAAGCTGAAGTTACCAGACCAGGAAGCGACCATAGCCGCCCAGAAAGATAGTACAGCTTGAGCTCCAATTACAAAGCCAGGAGGACAACAGAGGCAAAACGGCAAAAAACAACAAATTAACATCGTCATGACAAATATTAGCAATTATATATATTATCATGAATTGCAGCTTGCGTTGCATAAACCAGAAAAAGAAAATGAAATTCAAAAGCAGGGTCAAAAAAAATAAAAAAATAAAAAATGACACCATCAAAGAACAAATTATAAATGATATTCAAAAAAATTTGATATGAAAAAAATATATATATTATGTGGCTCTGTAATTAACATATATATATATATATATATATATATATATATACACATACACACACACACACACACACACACATATACATACATACATATACATACATAATCAACAGATCATATAATAACTGTAGGAAACCACATTAATGCAGCGGCATCTTGTGGTCGGAAAACAATATGCATATATGAAAAACAAAAAAACAAAATATAAAGATACTAAATGAAAAGAACTGGAACAAAAAACTAAAATATAATAAAATGGTATGCAGCGCTAAATAATAAAACAAACATCCATATAACCAAAGTGACAGTAAATGGATAAGACGGTAAAAACAATCAATCAAACTTTAAATAGTTCCATAAAGGTAAAGATGAAAGATCAACAATGCCACAGTGGAGATGAATATATTAAAATCCAATCAGGCTTGTGGACGGATCCGGTAAATTAATGCGCTTACCACAAAGACATATAAACTGAGCGTTGTATGTATAATTATGGACATCAGGGCCTGGTCAGCAAATAGGACTGCATCCGGTCACCACGTAAGACCCCCAGGAATGGTGGGAAACACTCTCCAAGGTCATCTCAGGTTTCGCCGGCAGGTCCAACGAAGTCCTCTCCCAATAACACTCCTCTGGATCGCTCCACCTTGATGGGGCTCGTAAATAACGAGCCAGAGCAAAATGGCAATAATGGTGAAGTATGTCTTTATTGGGTAAACAGCAAAATGGTATATAAAGGAACTCACAAATAGAAGACAATGCCCAGGTCAAACAGAGAAGTTCCCTGGTGATCAGTGGCTCCCTGGTGATCTAATGGCGTCTTTTGCACGCCTGATAGACATTGGTGTTTTCTAATTCAGTGGTGGTTTTAGGATCTCATGCACACAGGACATCACAAACTCAAAAGACGCCATTAGATCACCAGGGAGCCACTGATCACCAGGGAACTTCTCTGTTTGACCTGGGCATTGTCTTCTATTTGTGAGTTCCTTTATATACCATTTTGCTGTTTACCCAATAAAGACATACTTCACCATTATTGCCATTTTACTCTGGCTCGTTATTTACGAGCCCCATCAAGGTGGAGCGATCCAGAGGAGTGTTATTGGGAGAGGACTTCGTTGGACCTGCCGGCGAAACCTGAGATGACCTTGGAGAGTGTTTCCCACCATTCCTGGGGGTCTTACGTGGTGACCGGATGCAGTCCTATTTGCTGACCAGGCCCTGATGTCCATAATTATACATACAACGCTCAGTTTATATGTCTTTGTGGTAAGCGCATTAATTTACCGGATCCGTCCACAAGCCTGATTGGATTTTAATATATTCATCTCCACTGTGGCATTGTTGATCTTTCATCTTTACCTTTATGGAACTATTTAAAGTTTGATTGATGGTTTTTACCATCTTATCCATTTACTGTCACTTTGGTTATATGGATGTTTGTTTTATTATTTAGTGCTGCATACCATTTTATTATATTTTCTTTTTGGTGTTGAGGATTGCCTTGTGTGCTAGCTGCTATTTTGAGATTTGCGCTCACTCACCCTATTTTTAGTTTGAAAAAACTAAAATATATATGAACAAATATTAAAATCCAAAATAGAAAAATTTAAATAAAAGTATACAGGGTTCACTAATTGAATGTAAAAAAATTAGCTATTAATAAATGCATCAACGTCTTATTCAATATTTAGACCAAAAGGGGTATAAGATTTTAACAGATAGATCCATCAGGTCTCCAATCTAGAGATCTCCCTCCTAGTAGAACTGCCACCCCAATTGGGAATAAACTTGTCAATGCCTACAAAAAGTGTGCCATTAGGGTTTTTATCATGATGTAGCTCGTAATGCTTAGATATGCTATGGTTTCCAACCGTTATTAGTTATATAATCTGGTATATATATATATATATATATATACATACATACATACATACATACATACATACATACACATACATATACACACACACACATATATATATATACACACATACACACACACACACACATATATACACATTTTTATTACAGAGCCACACAATATTTTTTATATAGTTTTTTTTTATATAAATAATATTAATAAAAGGTTTATAATTAGTTATTTGTTCTTTGACGGTGTCATTTTTTGACCCTGCTTTTGAACTTAAGTTTTAATTTGCTGGTTTATGCAATTCAAGATAATCTGTGTCATTGCTATGATTTGAGTCATGACGATGTTAATTTGTTGTTTTTTTTGCCATTTTGCCACTGTTGTTCTCCTGGCTCTGTAATTGGAGCTCAAGCTGTGCTATCTTTCTGGGCGGCTATGGTCGCTTCCTGGTCTGGTAACCTCAGCTTGCAGTTCCGGTCCATGGAACGCAGCTGGGAGTGGTTCATTTCCTCTCTGGCACTATTTAAGGCGTGATGGATGTTGTAGGCCACGCCCCTGATGCCATGTATGACGAAACGCGTAGAAGGAGCTACATCCTCTGATGTCATCATGCCATGTACCGCAGCCATTTTGTCGGTGCAAACAATAAGCAAACCCATATGCTTTTATTACTGTTGCTTTGTAAGCGTATTTCTTCTATTAAACATTGCTTTTTCCTAATACTAAGCCATGAGGAGCCTATGTTTCTCTTTTACATGCACCCCAACATCCTGAGTTGGTCTAGTTAAGTATAACCTTTCCGTTATTGACTGAGGAGTTATCTTTTGGTGGAGAAGACCTATGGTTCCATATTTTCTCTTATGTTTGCAAAACCACAATTTTGAAGTACAACCTTTGTGGTGTGAGCTGTGGAGGTGCCTTCAGGTGGAGAAGTATTTTGGTCCTACTCTTCCATGTGATTGATCATAAATGCTGTGTAAGACCGCATGACCTGTGGTCTTGCCCTCTGGTAAGAGGCTGTGTAAGGTGTTGATGGAGGATCTTTTCTTTGTGACAACTCATCACCCTTTTCCCAACGTGATAGTTGATAGACTACCACTACCTTAAGGACTTTTTTGTTTTAATATTCTTTTATTTGTATTATTTATGTAAATTATGAGAGATTATGTGCTACATTTTGCATAGTTTTATTTTACTTTTGTTACCAACAATTTTACGTCAGCTGCTTTATTTTCTCTAAGACATTTAGCGCAGAATTATTGTTATATTTTTCATGCGCACTAAGTGTCCACTCTAGCAAGCTGCTTGCTATGGGAGAATTCTCGCAGGCTCACTCCCAACCAAGCCAACTCTGTGTGACCATAGACACACAGTGTGACTTGGCCCCACTCCCTGCTCCCTCCTGTCTGATTGACAGCAGCGAGAGCCAATGGCTTCCACTGCTGTCTCTGAGCCTATGAGGGAGAGAGCCGCTGTTCTTATGCACAGCACTGAAGTGAGATTGGGCTCAGGTAAATACAAGTGGGGCTGAGGGAAGGGGGGAGATTTACTTTTTTTTAACCCTAAAGTGGTAATAAACTCCAAAACAAACCTTTATTATATTGCAGCTTAACAATTCTTACATATGGTGGTTGAATTTGTTTTTCTTTTAAAGGCTCTCTTCCCCTTATTTTAATCTGGCCAGTAAGTCTGTAGTTTTTCAAAAGAACAAACTTTCCTACAGGTGTAGCAGTTAAAGGGATAAGACAAACCATTTATCTCCGACAGGGGTGCATACAATGATCAGCTTTTGTTTATTCATGTAAAACCTTTATCTCAAAAGACAAACAAATGTTATTTCTAACTGGTTATACAGTGTTAGCGTGAGATTGGCTGCAGTTTGTTAGTGTATTTTAAATCTGCTAGTACATCTAATACTCCCCTCCTCACAGACTGACAATGCTGCTGTCTAAAAGGTGCCCCCTGTGCTCCTTCATCCAGAGTGGGGGCACTCTAATACAGGATTTGTGTTACTGGCCAGATCACCAGGGGGAAACAGCCTAACAAAAAACGAATGCAGCCACCACATCTAATTGGTTAGCTACATTATATTTTTGGTTTGGGGACTAATACTATTTTAATATAGAAAATTAATTAAGGTAAAACACCTTCAGCCTTTAGAACCATTTCAAGCAGGCATACTAAAGTCAGTGGTGACTGTACATAAAAGCTTGTACCTTGCGTATATCTAGATCATATAAAAAAATATTACTCTTGCAGGTACTTTTCTATTTTTATGAAATTACATGATCAAAAAATGTAGTAATGTGTGTCAAATGTGCATAACTGTATCTGTGTGAGAAGGCCGTACATTTTAAATGTAATGTATTCAGATCGATTATTATTTTCTTAGGAGGTTAGATTTAAAAACTGAAACTTCAAAAACATTTAAAGTTAAACTCCAGGCACATGAAAAAAAAACCAAAACCCTTTCAGTGCCCCCCCACCTCCTACACACTACAATGGTAAATGCTAGTAAAGTCTAGGGGAAGAGGAAATAGGTGTAATATTTGCCTTATTCCTTGCTGCAGCAGGCTCCATCAGTCTGTGTGACTCGTCCCTCCCCCTCACAGCATTCTCACTAAGGCACTCTGGCCTGCACTTACCTCCTCAAGTACAATGCAGGGATAGTCTCACATCAAGCTTGATGATGTCGAGGGGCCACCCACAACTCAAAGCATCAGGGAGAAGAGGTGAGCGCTGGAGCACAGTAAGTAATACAGCCTGTTAATACACCCCCTACAGTGAACAATCATTTAACCCTTGCAGGGCAGGAGACCACATGGTAAGGGTTTTTTTCATCCTAAAGATGGCCTGTAATGTCCTTTGCAATCTAGCTTGTGCAATTATACTCTTGAACAGACACTGTACAAAGTAATCAAAACAAAATATTTGAAGCTTGCTGTTCACCTCAGGAGTGTGAATGATATCCCGGTCCACAACCTCTGCATCGACTGCCATAAGAACTCTAAGGTACAGGTCAACACCACGGGGGTTGAGTCCGACAACAGTCAAAATATCAAAAAAAAATTTAGGCCACGTTGAGAGGTACTCAGTAACAAAGACCAGGGCAAAGACCTGTGCAGCTTTGTTACGTATGAATGTTTTTTCTGGTTGGGCATTGAGCATCTGTGAGGAAAAAAAAAAACATCGTCAAACAAAAATTTGCAACAGTATTATGCTTACTTTCATATCTTTGACCTAGCACAGAGAACAAGCTGTTGGTTTCCTACCAATGATTGGGACCCAGGGGAACTGGATCCCAATCACATGATCACTGGGACAGCCTCAGAACCTTGTAGTCTGCCCCAATGTTGTGTTCCCTCCACCTTAACGCAAAGAATGCATTAAGGTGAAAAAAAAACGAAAAAAAAACCAAACACACCTTTTACCTTTTTACCCACTTTTATCTCAAACGATGCTTCTATAGAACATTTATTCTAGTACTCACATAATGAACCTTTTTTTTTTTTCTTCCCACCACTGCCTCCCAGTCCTTTAAGTGGATCAAAATGCAGGGAGGCAGAGACAGGCATTCAGACCATGTGATTGACCACTGTGATTGGCAGTCATATGTGATCAAAGCAGTCATATGATCGACAGCTTCTGATCGTAAGTATACATTGGGAGCTTTCCGTGACAGTATAGTTACTGAACTGGGAGCAAGCAGGGAGAGCACTCTCAGTACAGTAAACGGTTTACAAACAGAAGCATATATGCGGTTGCTTGACGTTAAGGCCTACCTGCCGAGGGGCTGCATATATACGTGCACATGGCATGAAGTGAATAAATTCTTTATTTTGAAAATTTCAAACATACAATTAAATTAGGTCCTGGTATGACACACACCGTACATATTATTGGTCATGATACAAGGGCATGAAATGTAATATCCAAATCAAACAAAAGCATCGTCTATCACAGCCTATTACAAAGAGATGGTGCCAGGCTAAGAAGCCGAGTACCTGCAAACTCAAACATAATGAGGTAACTGTTGTGACAGAGGGTGGGGAGTAGTTTGACCTAGTAGTTAAGAGCACAATCCAGGTAGTATGCAGGGTGGCAGGTAAAGGTACAAGGGAATGTCAGTAAAGGGGTCAGAGAAGGGAGGGGTCAGAGGAGGGAAGAAGGAAGGCTGTGTATTGGAGTGGGGGAGGGAAGGAACCACACAGGCAGCTCAGGAAGGAGGAGGGGTCCATTACTACTTTGGGTCACTCCCAAACAGTAGTGCCTGTTCTTAAACTGTAAATTTAAAGACATCCCAGTAAAACCATGTGGACCTGTATGTCTCGTGTTTGTTTTGGGTGAAAGGATTAAATCCTCCATCCTGTGGATTTTAAATATTTTAATATTTACCTGAGCTTGAAGCCATGTTATTAGAGTTTCCCTTATTAGTTGCTGTTGCAATGCAGTCAGTTCAGAATATCTGTGACAAATACAAAAATGTACCATAAACCTAAAAGAGAACTTCACAACACAAGAGCAACACTACTACTCAAAAACGGCACACAGCAGCCATGTCATCCCCTGGCTCTCACAATAAAATACATCAGTGTCTACTCTTGAAAACAAACTTGTAAAACTCACTTGAATTTTATCTGGTGTTCCAAAACTTGAAAGCAGAAGAACTTGACATGATCGTCACTGAAACAAAATACAGAGTTTCATATGTTTCATGCATTTTCTGCAATTCTAATTAGAATTTAAAGTGAAAATGTGCCTAAGCTTTGGATAACAAGATATATACATTTTCTGAACAAGCAGTAAAACAGGATTTCATCAAAGGACAGAGAGTCAGTTGAATCTGGGACCATTAGGCTATACTGCCAACTTTAGGAGGAACTGGGGCAATGGCAAACCAAAAAAAGCTGTAGGCCAGGCAAGTAGAATCACTCCCACAAAACTTTAAGTAATCTAAAACCATTTGGAAGTCCCAAAGTAGTCCAAATAAGAAATAGGCAGCACAGCAAACAATTGTAATAGTGCCCAAAAAGAAATAAAACAGCAGTGTAAACATTAGCCTGCAGGACCTTACACCCCAAAGTTCGCATAAGACGCTTGAACATCCACCTCATAAAACTCACAGAATAAGCGAACAGGTGGTAGTCTTGCAAACATGGTAAGCAGATGCTTGATGCCAAAATGCTCAGCAAACATTCACTGATCTAGTGAAATGTGCCTTGACTAGAATAGGTGGAACCTTCTTTAAGCAGATAATACTTATATAATGATCTGTCAAAGCCACAAAGATATGGCAGACCACGAAGCAGGTTTTCCCCTCTAGGAATCCTTAGCAATGAGAGTGTCTGACTGAAGGAAATTATAGCTGAAAGGTAAACCTAAAAGCTTCTACAAGATCCAAACATCGGAAGCAAATCAAAAGGATGTATAGAAAGCTGACAGAGATGGAAGCACAGTGTCCTGATTAAAGTGAAAAGGTAGAAAGCACCAAAGTAAGAAAGGAGACAGTAGACATCAAGTCCTTGTGGAAAACCAAAAAGGTTCTTTAAAAGATGGGGTTGCTAGTCCAGACACCTGCCTAGCAGAGGTAATGGCAACAAGAATAGCCTCCTTGTGAGTCAGTAGATGGGAATATTTGGTAAGGCATGAAGGGCAGTCTTTGAAGAGTTGAAAGAGTGAGGTTATGATCCCACTGAATCAATGGAAGATGCAGAAGTGGTACAACATCCTATAAAAGGGCCTTCAATAGGGAAAGAGAAGCAGGTTGTACGGATTTCACTGAGCCACTACTGTTTACACCAGACAATCTCTGGATCTCAACACCAACCTGTGCAGTTTGTTACTAACCAGACCGAGGACTATCATGCAAAAGCCGAAAGTCGTGTGTAGACCAATCTGGTCTGGTTTAGACAGGCTTAAGACATTTAAGCGAGCCAAGACTGGTAGACAGGAGTGGTTCCAGATGCAAGTTGCTCAAGTTTTAAACAGGTACAGGCTGAGTCAATAAGACCAAATATGGTGTCTTTAAAGTGGTTGTAAACCTTAGACATGAAATCAGAACAAAGCACGTACTTCTAGTCTTTACTTGCCTCTCTCCAAAGCACTAAGCGTCATTTCTCTTTGTCTAGATCCTCTGCTATCAGCATCAGTCACTTCTGACACCAGGAGGTAAAAAGGTGCAAGAGAGGGAGCTCCAACTGATTGACAGCCTCAGCTTGGTTCCTTTGTGCTGTGTGAAGAGGGGTGTGTCCCTTCCCTCCGATCAGCTTTCAGACCTCTTGTACAGTGTGTAACTGTGGCTCCTTGCCTCCTGTTTTGAGAGTCTGTGAAAAATCCTCTTCATCTGAGTTTTACAAGGATGTACAGGACAAATAGCTGCAACTAAATAGGTACAACTTATGTGGGACAATTTGTTTTGCCTCTGTGTATCATCCTAGGCTAGTCACTTTACTGGATATAGGTAAGGGTTCACAACCACTTTAAGCTTAGGGCTTATGTCTGCAGTTTCCTTAGGCATAAACTCACCCAAAAAGTAATAGTTGTATTCCACATCATTGACTGCTGTGTAGAGGTTGCTGCACCTATGTCACTTTCAGACTCTAGAGGAGAGGGCACAGGAGCAGGCTTGCAGCTCTTGCGTTCTGAGTCAGCTTTCAAGGCACAGATTTAAATCCATAAAAACCCAGAAAGCCAGAGAGAACTCAGCCCTGGACAGAGTAGAGGAGTGAGTTACACCTGCAGAAGCTTGGAGGACTGAAGAGTGTGCAGACTTAAGTAGGCGACAATGATCAAAGCTATTGGCATCAGGTCTTCTGGGAGAGACACTGCAGACTGCCCATAAGCTGCTGGAGGATAATGAACTGGAGAGGCCCGGTTGGGCAGTTCCTTTTGTGCTTGAGCGGTTGTAAAAGGCAAAAAGTTTTTTTTAACTTCATGCATTCTATGCATGAAGGTAAAAAACTTTTGGTGTGCAGTAGTGCCCCCAGCCCCCTTAATACTTCCCTGAGCCCCATCAAGATCCATCAATGTGCACAACAGCCTCGGCTGTCCCGTGTCTCTGCTGCCTCATTGGCTGAGACACCAAGCTGTCAATCACAGCCAGTCAGCCAATGAGGAGATAGAGGGGTGGAGCCAAGCTACGGTGCTGTGTGAGAAAGGACACACAGAGCAGGGCACTTGCTATGGAGGCAGCTGAAAGAAAGGAGGAGCCAGGAGAGCTGAGAAGAGGAGGTTCCAGACTGCTCTGTGCAAAGCCACTGCACGCAGCAGGCAAGTATAACATGCTTGTTATTTTACAAAAAAAAAAGGAAAAAAACCCTTTATTATCGCTTTAGTATTCGACATACTGAGGTGCACAAACACATTTAAATAAACAAGAAGCAGAGCAGGTACTCACAAACCAGCTGTGGAAGAAGGGAGTGTTATGGGCAGACGAAACCATGTTCCCCTCCACGAGAGTGTTAGGGATTATACCTGGTTGGCCAATGGCTCTTTTTTTTTTTTGTTTGTCAGTGTCCAATTCCTCCTAAATGCAGTAATATAAGCCAGTGGTCCCAGATTCAACAAACCCTGTGTCCCCTAATGAAAAATTAAGAAACGCAAATACTAACTACTTGACCTCTGCTTCCTGTATACACCTATGGAATACAGCATTTTTTACATTTCTGCATTGGACCAATTTATATAGCCTTATTACTGTCATTACTCAAGATAAAGTAAAACTTTCTTTTTTCAAAGTGGAACTATATTCACCTCAGCTCCAGCTGGAGCTCCCAGCCGGCCACTGACATCTTGCTGTTGGCTTCCAGGTATCGATCACCGGCTGCTCTCATTGACTAGGTGGGGATGACGTCACTCCTGCACATGTGCAGGAGTTCAGTTAACAAATAGGCAAGTATAGAAATCTTTTCTTTAGAGGGCTATAGATTAAGTTTAGAATGTGGCTGGGAGTAGGTTTAGAGTTAGTGAAATTTTGGCTGAACTTCTACCTTAACCCAGTAGAGATGTGGAAAACCTGGAAGCTGACTGGTTTCTATGCAGAGCTACACCAGATTTTGCACGCTTCACCTTTAGTAAATCAACCCCATTGTGTTGGTCTATTTTTGTGATCTGGACAAGATCACATTTTAAAGCAAGTGACTGCACAAAATAACATGGGGTTCAATATATTTTTTTTTGCCACCGTACATGTAAAAATCTACTTTTAAAATGGTGGTTGTTGCAATTTTGTACGTCACGCAATATTTACACAGCTATTTTTAAAAAGCAATATTGAGGAAAAAAGTACACATTATTGAATTTTAGTTGACACAAAACACAACATAATACCAAATTTTTTTGTAAAATATAAAAATGTAATGTTACATCGAGTCAATAGATACCAAACTTAACACGCTTTAAAGTGATATTAAAGGCTTAATTTTTTTTTTTTATAAATAAAACACATCATACTTACCTGCCCTCTGCAGTGGTTTTGCACAGAGCAGCCCAGATCCTCCTCTTCTTGGGTCCCCTGCTGGTGCTTCTGGCCCCTCCATCCTGTCGTGTGCCCCCACAGCAAGCAGCTTGTATGGGGACACCCGCTGTTCCATGTGTCTATTCACACATAAAGCCACGGCTTGGACCCATCCCCTCTCTCTTCTCACTGCCTGCGAATGACATTAGCAGGAGGCAATGGCTCCCGTTGTTGTCGCAGACAATGAGGAGAGGGAGTTCTGGGATTGCCGAGACTCCAGTGCACATCGCTGGATCGAGAGAAGGCTTAGGTGAGTATTAGGGAGGGCTAGTGGGACTGCTGCACAGAGAAGGTTTTGCATATGCATGAAGGTAAAAAAAGCTCAAGCCTTTACTACCACTTTAAAATTGTGTACGCCCGTGGAATGGTGACAAACTTATTTTACTGTTTAGGGTATTGCTGACTTAAAAAAAAAAATGATATCTGGATCATGGCTGCAGCTGCAGCCATAGCCATGACAAATAATTCAGCACTACTTACAGATATATACAATCGGTACGTGGTTAGATTACATCATCATTTGTGTAGCAATTTTATGTTTTTTTTTTTGCTGTCCTTTAAAACTCAGTTAGGCTAGGGTCACACCAATACAGTTTGCGTTTGATCCATTTCTGCAGTGCTTTTGTGGTGCGTTTTTGCACATGCTGTTTTGATGCTTTTTTTTTCAACAACTTGTTGCTGAGAAGAATAAAACACATCAAAAATGCTTTTCTGCAGTGTCTCCATTGAAGTCTATAGAACCAAAAAGCAACGTTTAAAAAGTCCCTGACCCTTTCCAAAAAGTGCTCTGGGTGAAAAGGCAGAGATGTGAACCTGTACCATAAGAAATCATGTTAAATGGACTGCTGTGCATTTCTGCAAAACGCAGCGGAAAACGCTGGCCATACATTATACAACTTTCTTTAGATTTTTGCTTTAGATTTACCAAAAACCATGTAATACAAGGTCAAACCTAAACAACACTTTCAATTGTATCCAATTAGGCGGGCCCTTGCACTACATAGTTGAAGGTTAATCTAAAGGAAATTGGGCAGAAAATTGTATAGTGTATGGCAAGCCTTACCATTTGTTAGGACTATGTAAATACCCCAATGCCCCTAGGCTGGGCGCATGTGTATATAGAGTCACAAATAATTTAAAACATTTGATTCACTGAAGGATTCTCCTCTCACTCAAACAATGAATATAAGGGAATTGCTAGAATATATATATATATATTTTTTTTTTCATGGGATAGGGAAATACATAGATTAGCAACAGTACAAAAACAATTACTACCAAAAAAACACAGTTATCAGGAATACAACCAACCCATGTTACAAAAAATTCCATGAGACTAAAACACTTTTTTAGAATTAGAATATAACAAAGATGACAGACATAGATCCTGAACTGAAAAATGTTGAATTTACATATGGAAATTACAGTACGTTTCCCAAACTAAAATGAGTAAGTAGTATACAAAAGGTGCAAAGTGTGGGCAGGTCTCAGTTTAGTTAAAAAAAGCACTGAAAATGTTCAGTGCTTTTTTTATCTAAACTCCCTCCCTACACAACCTCTTTGGTTTTAGACACCCAGAGGCACCAAGACTCAGCCCCAGCGACTTAGTATTAGAATATGCGTTGCTCAAAAAAACTTTTTAAAGGAACACTTTTTAATCAGAGTACAGTATCAAGTCAATTAAAACTCCTGGGATATTGATCTGATCAGTTAAGAAGAGGGGGTTGTTAATCAGTTCCAGCTGCTTTGGGTGTTATTGCACTAGATGGGCAATAATGAGATAACCCCCAAAACAGGAATGGTATTTGACATTTTTTTCCCTACTCATCTTTTCTGACTGTCTTTCACTAATTTTGCATTTGGCTAGAGTCAGTGTCACTACTGGTAACACGAGACGATACCTGGACCCTACAAACGTTGCACAGGCAGTCCAACTCCTCCAGGATGGCACATCCATAAATGCCATTGCCAGGTTTGCTGTGTCTCCCAGCACAGTCTCAAGATTATGGAGATTCCAGGAGACAGCTAGTTACTCTAGGAGAGCTGGACAGGGCCATAGAAGGTCCTTAACCTATCAGCAGGACCGGTATCTGCTCCTTTGTACAAGGAGGAACAGGATAAACACTGCCAGAGCCCTACAAAATTACCTCCAGCAGGCCACTGGTGTGAATGTCTCTGACCAAACAATCAGAAAGAGACTTCATGAGGGTGGTCTGAGGGCCCAAAAGCCTATTGTGGGCCCTGTGTTCACTGCCTGGTACCATAGAGCTCGAGTGGCATTTGCCACTGAACACCAGAATTGGCAGATCCACTACTGGCGCCCTGTGCTTTTCACAGATGAGAGCAGGTTCACCCTGAGCACATGTGACAGATGTGAAAGGGTCTGGAAAAGCCGTGAAGACAATGATGCTGCCTGTAACATTGTTCAGCATGACCGTTTTGGTGGTGGGTCAGTGATGATCTGGGGAGGCATATCCATGGAGGGATGCACAGACCTCTACAGGCTAGAAAATGGCACCCGATTGCCAATAGGTATCTGGATGAATCCTTGGACCCATTGTCAGACCCTATTGCTGGTGCAGTGGGTCCTGGGATCCTCGGTGCATGGCAATGCCCAGCCTCATGTGGCGAGAGAATGCAGGCAGTTCCTGGAGGATGACGGAATCGATACCATTGAATGGTCTCCCACGCTCGCCTGACCTAAATCCAATATAACACCTCTGGGATATCACGTTTCAGTCCATCCGACGCCACCAGGTTGCACCTCAGTCTGTCCAGGAGCTCAGTGATGCCATGGTCAAGATCTGGGGGGAAATACCCCAGGACATCATCCATCGTCTCATTAGGAGCATGCCCGGACATTGTCAGGCATGCATACAAGCACGTGCGGGCCATACAAACTGAGTACAATTTTGAGTTGTTGCAATGAAATTTCAGCAAAATGGACTAGTCTGCTGCATAACTGTTTCACTTTAATTTTCGGGGTGTCTCTGAATTCAGTCCTCTGTAGGTTGGTAATTTTAATTTCCATCAAACAATGGGGCATCCTTATGTTCCGAACACATTACCCAGTCCATATCAGTATAGATATCCAGCATATTTTTCCCCATTGAGATCTGATATGTTTTCAAAGTGTTCTTTTAATTTTTTGTGCAGTGTAGTATTCCCCTTCCCACTTCCTGAGGCAGCCACATAAAAGGTTATGCGGGGGGGGGAGCAGTGGAGATGCTGGGTTAGGACAGATAATAAGATACTCCCAGGGGAGAAGGCTATGATTTGCAGGGAAGGATGGGCTGTGCTAGGGGACTGACTTCCTGAAAAATTCAAATATTCTAGTATGCTCAAAAGCACATTGGAAGAGAATAAAAATTTACAGAAAGGAAAAACACTAAAAATAAGCACTTGAAATACTTTATCTGTGCTTCTACCTGCAATATTTTAAGTTAGTGACATGGTCTCTTTAAACAAAGAGAAGGATGAGGATCCTAAGTAACTTTTAGTTGTAAGGGCTCGTTCACACCATGGTGCAGAGACATCAGTTTTTCTGCACTAGTTCTGCAAGGACAAAACAAAATCAACTGATCTTTATGTGCCCTGTTCACATATGTAAACTGATGTTTCTGCAAGTGAAGTCTGCACGTCAGTTTCTCTGCACGTATGGTGTGAACGAGGCCGCAAACATCAATTCCAATCTGGCTTTTCACAAGCTACTCCTAACTAGGAAATTCTTCATCCATACACTAATGTTTGAAAAGCTTTTACTCATTAAATATTTCATAAAAACACTGCAGCATGATGCTAGATTAGAAAAAAAAATTATATACAGTCATGGCCGAAATTGTTGGCACCCTTGATATTTTTCCTGAAAATCAAGTATTTCACACAAAAAAGGTATTGCATTAACACATGTTTTGCTATACACATGTTTATTCCCTTTGTATGTATTGGAACAAATATAAAAACAGAGGCAGAAAAGCAAATATGACATAATGTCACACAAAACCCCAAAAATGGGCTGGACAAAAGTATTGGCACCCTTAACTTAATATTTGGTTGCACACCCTTTGGAAAACATAACTGAAATCAGTCGCTTCCTATAACCATCAATAAGCTTCTGACACCTCTCACCCGGAATTTTGGGACCACTCTTCCTTTGCAAACAGCTCCAGGTCTCTCTTATTGGAAGGACACCTTTTCCCAACAGCAATTTTAAGATCTCTCCACAGGTGTTCAATGGGATTTAGATCTGGGCTCATTGCTGGCCACTTCAGAACTCTCCAGCGCTTCTTTGCCATCCATTTCTGAGTGCTTTTTGACGTATGTTTGGGGTCATTGTCCTGCTGGAAGACCCAGGATCTTGGACGCAAACCCAGCTTTCTGACACTGGGCCCTACAGTGCGACCCAAAATCCTTTGGTAATCCTCAGATTTCATGATGCCTTGCACACAGTCAAGGCACCCAGTGCCAGAGGCAGCAAAACAACCCCAAAACATCATTGAACCTCCACCATATTTTACCGTAGGTACTGTGTTTTGTTCTTTGTAGGCCTCATTCCGTTTTCGGTAAACAGTAGAATGATGTGCTTTACCGAAAAGCTCTATCTTGGTCTCATCTGTCCACAAGACGTTTTCCCAGAAGGCTTTTGGCTTACTCAAGTACATTTTGGCAAACTGTAGTCTTGCTTTTTTATGTCTCTGTGTCAGCAGTGGGGTCCTCCTGGGTCTCCTGCCATAGCGTTTCATTTCATTTAAATGTCGACGGATAGTTCGCGCTGACACTGATGCTCCCTGAGCCTGCAGGACAGCTTGAATGTCTTTGGAACATGTTTGGGGCTGCTTATCCACCATCCGGACTATTCTGCGTTGCAATCTTTCATCAATTTTCCTCATCCGTCCACGACCAGGGAGATTAGCTACAGTGCCATGGGTTGCAAACTTCTTGATAATGTTGCGCACTGTGGACAAAGGCAAATCTAGTTCTCTGGAGATGGACTTGTAACCTTGAGATTGTTGATATTTTGCCACAATTTTGGTTCTCAGGTCCTCAGACAGTTCTCGTCTCCTCTTTCTGTTGTCCATGCTTAGTGTGGCACAGACAGACACACAATGCAAAGGTTAAGTGAACGTCTCTCCTTTTTATCTGCTTTCAGGTGTGATTTCTATATTGCCCACACCTGTTACTTGCCCCAGGTGAGTTTACAGGAGCATCACATGCTTGTAACATTCTTATTTATCCGCAGTTGTGAAAGGGTGCCAATACTTTTGTCCAGCCCATTTTTGGAGGTTTGTGTGACATTATGTCGAATTTGCTTTCTTTCCTCCCTTTTTTTGTTTTGTCCCAATACACACAAAGGGAATAAACATGTGTATAGCAAAACATGTGTTAATGCAATACGTTTCGTGAGAAATACATGATTTCCTGGAGAAATATCAAGGGTGCCAACAATTTCGGCCATGACTGTACATCACTTTAGGAGAAAGGTTGTATTTATTACCTGCACATGCATTCAATGGGGAAAAAAAAATGAGAGCGTACAATCAAAGGCGAGCTCCTCACCTATATATGTGTTTGGCTAATGCTTCAGCACAGACCTGCCATGCATCATGTGAAACTTTCAGTTGTTCAAAATAAGCCAATGCCTGAAATGAAAATAAAAAAAAAAAAAAATGCATGAAGACAATTTCTACATAATAAATTAAACAAGGTGCACACAAATCATTTAATGTAAAAGACATTCTTCCTTTGGAATTCATATTACAGATACCAATAGCTGGGTACATTTCAAAATAAATAAAATTGCACATTAACAAAAACCATTTTTAATCATTATCATAATGACAAAACATACACGCTCTCTGAAGTTAGCATTGGCATTTGGGTTTAGTCCAAGCAGGGCTTGTTCATCCATGTCTGCTGCTATACTTCAAGCTCCCTATTTCTCACAATAGGTTTGCCCCTTTCTGGCACAGCAGAGTCAGCCAACATCTGCCAAAGAATGAAAAAGCAAAGTTAGGAGAAACATGGTATTTGCAAAAACAATGGTGGTGCTTGTCTCAGCAAAACTCTAACACAAGACTAGGAACAACATCCTGCAGTGTTATTCCCAAAAACTAAAAAGTTTACATGCACAATCCCTGCACAACTGACAAACATAACAATATGTACCTCCCCCAAAGAAACAAAGACTTTATATTTACATAATAAAATTACCTAATACACTAAAAATAAGTGAAGCATTCAATGCATCAGTCTTCTTCTTAATTATGACAAGATACAAAATTCTTATGGGGAAAACAAAAAGTCTCAGCTATTCTGTTTAACACCCAAATGAATTTTAAACTTAAAGTTTAGATCGGCAAACTATTTTTCAGTTGCATCAAAAAAAAAAAAAAAAAAAAAAAAAAAAAAGGTGTTCAATATCTTAGTTTATTTTCTTGATGAAGCAGCTACTGTCTCATCGAATGCCTGCCCCTGCAGAGAAGGACCCTTGCTCTGTGTGGAATTAGTGGCCTCTCTGCAGAAGTCCAACCTAGCCTCTAATGAGTCTGACCTATAACTTGCCAATCAGCAAAACGCATGCTCCAAACTTACTGGAGTTCTCTGGCTGCGGGGGGTGTGACCTGAGCAGAGAAAACAATGGAGCAGGGGCCCAGATCTGCTGCATGATGGCAGGAGACAGGCTTTTTTCTACTCTGTGGCTGCTTAAAAAAGAAAATTATAGTGAAAGTCCAGGCTCTAAGCTTAAAATGGCTCCCTCTTAAAGTGGTTGTCACATCACATATTAATTACTTTTATCCTCGGTTTTAGAAACATAAGTACACGGTGTGTATTTTTAAAATTATAATCCTAAACACCTTCTTTGCTCAGCACTGCTGTGAGGTCACATGTCCTCCCTCCGCTCTCCTTGCCGATCTAAGGGAGTCCAGTGGGAAGGGCCAAGATGCCCTTCTGACATATGCAAGATAGCAGAGGGAGGACATATGATCACACAGCAGCGCTGTGCAAATAAAGTATTTGGCATTATAATTAGAAAAACACAAACACAATTCCTAAAACAGAGGATTAAAGTAATTAATGTTATTTTTCAATCACAGGGGAATAGTTTTCCTCAAGGAAGGAGGGGAGGGGCAGGGAGGAGATTGACTCACAACATATCCTACAGAAATGACAGGGAGGGGGAGATGCAGAAATGCTGAACACACAGCAAGATGAGGGAGGGACATAAACTGACCACGCTGTCATGGATCAGCAGCTGTGGTTAGCATGGTCAGTTCACATAGGGAACACAGGAACAGGCTAGATCAACCAGGTATTATAGAACTTGGAATGGGACAAAATGACACTGCAAAAGCACTATGCTATACATCATGCTTTAAAGGGTTACAGCCACTATTCTAACTACACTGTAGAAGGAAGATGCTTATAATTACCTAATCTCAGGGCGCTCCAGTCCCAGTCATGTGATTTGCCCAAGTGGTAAACTCAGGAGAGAAGAGGAACAGCGGACAACGGATGCCCCATAGTAAGCCTATGGGTGACATCACCACTCAGGCATTCAATCTGTTTGCAGCACTCTCTCTCTTCATCCCTGAGGCCGGCTGCTGGGGAGATCATGTGGCCAGACTGGAGTACTGTGAGAAAAGGTAATTATAAGCATCTTCCTTTTACGGGGTAGTTAACATAGGAGTTAGAAGAGATGCTTGGGGGGCATTTTTTAAATGCCTACAATGCACTTGTCTTATTTCAAAACACAAAAAAATCTTCCTACCTGAATCTTCATATTCTGGTGTCAGCAATTTATGCGTTCAAACATGTGGCATTTGACATGGCACTGCACAGGTTAATGCATGACCTCTGTCTGTAGTCTGAGAACTGCATTTCCCTGTGAAGAAACTCCATATCCCACAATATCTGGGTCTTTAACTCTCCCTAATGAGATCATCACAATAATTAGATCTAACAAGGAGGCAAACAAAGCATTCACAGACACAGAGAGCTCACTGGTGTAGCTGAAAGATTTTATTACATCAGCACCTCCACAGTTGAGATTGGACACAAAGTGGATGGAAATAAATTTATTGGATGCTCTGTGACCTGAAACAGAACGTTTGCTTGTCCCTTCAGCAAAACAGGGTAAGCTATGTTAATGAATGTATGGTCATGGGGGAATCGATCAGATATTGTAAGCCCATTATTACAAGGTATATATATATATATATATATATATATATATATATATATATATATATATATACACACACACACACACACACACACACACACACACTGGAATTTACACAAATATAGATGCTACACTGTAATAGCGGTGATCAGTGACTTATAATGGGACTGTGAAGGTGGTGGGCAATCTGGTGCTAACCGACACTATATGGCAGGGTCGCTGGTGACACATACAGTGATACTGTTCACTGACACTGTACTGACACTGGCTGGGAGGGGTTAACATTTAGGGACAATCAAGGGGTTAACCATGTGCTACTTTTACTATACAGTCTGGCTGTATTTTCTCCCTCCTTTTCTCGGGCATAGTCCATCAGTTGATATCAGTCAAAATTATTGGGTGAAATCTGCTGCTGAACTTGTGCTGTGTCCAATCACAACATGGGTCAGCAGGGAGGAAACGCCTGCACGCAACTCAAACCTGCAAGAAAGGCCCAGCGTATAGGTAAATGATTGTGCCTGCACCCTCTACCCGCTTGCAGTATATTTACTGTGAGCAGTCAGCAGGTGGTTAAAATAGTTCTAAACTCAAAAGATTTTTTTTACCTCAATGCATTTTCTGCATCAAGGTAAAAAAAAAAAAATCATCCAATACCTGTTTCCTCGCATTGCACACACAGTTGTTGGGGACAGTGATTATAAATTTTGTTGCTACAAACTTGGCATAGATACACTGCTGCCTTTGCAGCTCATGAAGGAGCATTTAAAATGTGGCTTAGACCCAACCACAATCGTAAACAAGGCCTTAAAATGCTTTCACTGCTTGTTCAGAATATATAAATACTTGACAATACCCTCCCAATCATGTGCTTGCAGTGCTTGGCATGTCAATTACATGATTGGTAGCCCATCTGGTGGTTGCTGATTGCAAACCGTTACCAAAAGCTGTTGATGACAGCTTGGTCATCACACTGGGAGGTCGCTCTAGCACAGAATCTTGAAGCCTCATTCATGCATATGTGCAGCAACTGGGTACTAACCACTCAGTCCAGCCCATGTATAGTATATAAACGAAGAGCAACGTCAACGTGGGTAGACATGCCTGAAGGTCCCTCAGCATCCACCACCTGTGTGTGCTCCCTGGGCACCCACCAGCATCCTAACCACCAGTTATTCATCCATGCCCTGCTCTTTCATCTGTCAGCCAAGGACTTCTGGCTGACAGGTGAATATAACAAAGGAGTTGGGACATGATTTAAAAAAAAAAAAAAAAATGCAGTGGGGATTCCCCTATAATCCATACCTCATTTTGTCTATGAATTTTAAGGGGGAATCCACACAAAGAAAATATGGTGTGAGGTTACCCCCCCCCCCCCCAAATTCTATACCAGCCCCTTATTATCCAAGCATGCCCAGTGGTTGGGGGAGGGGGGGGGTTGTCAGTGGGGGGTGGGGGACATATCAGGACCTGGAAGCCCCCTTTATTAATACACCATATTTAAATGAGTGAGGGTACATCCAGGAGCAGATGTGTTTTTGGGTGGGTCAGTGGCCTTTATTCATTGTGACTGATGCGGATCTGTATTGCTGAACGATCAATGTATATTGTGGTCCATTTCTTTTGTACAGCTGTTGCACTAATATTGTGTACCACAAAAATTTGGAACAACCACCATTTTATTCTCCAGGGTCTTTGCTTTCAGAAAATATATACCTCTTGGGGTTTACCAATTCTCAAGACTAAAATGATTTTAGTACACAAAAAGAGTAAATCCTGCAGTTTGCGGAGTTATTTACAAGAAAACTATTTGCAGGATTTTTTTCAGGGATCACTGCTCCTGGTTTTACCGCTTTTTGATCATGCCATTTCAGTGAAATATATTGGCACCCAGTGATGTCAATCACAGCCAGTGAGGAGGGAGCAGGGGGAGGCACCGAGTTATACTCTGTGTCTATGGACACACAGGGCCAGCTCAGGAGTGAACCCGCACAAGTGCCCCCATAAAAAGCAGCTTGCTATGGTGGGCACTCGGTGGAGGGGAGGATAGAGGAGTGCTGATGAGGAACCAAAGAAGAGGAGGATTGAGGCTGCTCTGTGCAAAACCATTACACAGAGCAGGCAAGTATAGCATGTTGTTTTTAATACAGGTTTACAATCACTTTACCACAGAAGAAAATGCTACCCAATACTTCCCCATTTCATGTTGCTTCCACTTTTCTTTAAACTCGGTTTACATTTTCCAACTAATCACTTTCTGAATACTTTTTTTTCCCTCCCTTTAAAAGCAGTATTAACCCAAAAAAACAAAAATGTATTATATTGCAGCTTACCAATCATTAGATGTGGTGGCTGCATCAGTTTTCTTTTCTTTGGCTTTTTTCCCTCTGTTTTCAACTGGTGATCTGGCCAGTAACACACCTCCTGTATTAGTGAGACACAACTCTGGATGAATGAGTATAGTGCACAGCAGACAACAGCAATGTCAGTCTGGGGGGAGGGGAGTGTTAAAGTATTAGCCGAGTTGAAAACAATACCAAATTGAAGCCAAACTCCAGCTCACACTTTATAATCAGCCACAGCAAATATTGCCTTTTGAGAAAAAGGCTTTACATGAATAAATAAAAGCTGATCATTTTGTTCTCCCCTGCCAGTGTTGAATGGTCTCATCCATGTATTTACTTGAAAACCAGGCAATTTCTAACAATCAGTATTTTTTGCTAGAAAAT